CGAGTTCCCTAGTCTATGCCTCCAATCCTAACCAGTACTCACTCGGCCCCAAACCCCACATTTGCTGACAGACAGGTGTTTCTTCACCAGGATTAATACCTTTAACCAAATTACACTTGACCTGGGGATTATTTTGCTTTATTTAATGTTAACCTTAGTGAGATTTATCTTACCATTGGCTAATTAGGGAATCATATTTCCAATCTTAGAGAATGATTATAGCTTTCAAATTACATCCTGGTGAAGACAAAATAAAACAAAAATCTCTCTTTCTGCCAGTAAAGCGTCTGCTATGAAAGCTGAGCTAGCGGTGTTCATTTAATAATGTCCAGAAAATGATGACTGCAATATTTCTCCAGTAATTTATTCTTGCAAACATTATTTCCTCACATGCCACCATGTGCCAGGTATTAAATGTTTCTGTAGCTATAGCTAGGACCAAACCAGAAAAAGTCTGTACTAAAATAAGACTTTCTTAAACTGAATCAAAGACTTAAGTAAGCAAGGCAAAAGAGCAGGCAAGGCACCTGGCCTACCAGAGCTCAGGAATGTCTTGTACTAACACTCTGGGGATGATGTTTGGTGACCTTTAAACATGAACCCTTTAAACATTAAAGTTTTATCTGTTCCCAAAAGCCAAGTAGGAATATCTCCCATTGAAAATGTAGTATATTTAAAATTCCATGGTTTCATGAATGAAGATAGCATTTGTTTAATTCTAACGACGTGGCAACATTTTATAAACTCGTGTTATTCTGTAAATTAAGGCCAGGGAATCTGAGTAACAATGGAAATTGCAAGCAATTCCATGTGTCCACTTTTCTGCAGAGAGGGCTCTTTCATCAGCTATTCAAGGGCAAGTACTGGCTTACAGATAAAGAAGAGGAATGCTGAAACGAGTTTTCCTGGGATTGAGGCCCAACTGTACCACCTCTTAGAAGTGTGACCTTGGGCAAGTTGTTTAACTTCTCTCTCTCTTCTTTTTTTTCCTTTTTCTTCTTGATTAGTTAAGTGAAGCAGTGGGGGTGGGGAAGGAACAAAGAAATCTGTACCTGGCTGTGATCAATGAATTGTAAACACTGTTACACTCTTGCACTCTGGCCAGCCAACGTCTCTTTACTTTGGTTTTCTCATCAGTAAACAAGGATGATAACAGAAACTAGCTTATAAAGATCCTCCTCCGTGGCACTAATCTTGTTTTATAATGATATATTTGATTATCATTTGTCATATCCTCTAGGCTGCAGGACCTGGATCTGTTTTGTCTCATTATTTTAGCTTCAATGCCTGGCACATAGCATTGTCAATAAATATTTGTGAAATAAATAAATGCCCCAACAATTCATAGGATTTCAACAATTAGATCTTCAAAAGCCAGTATAACAAGAACTCTTATCTTTTAATGAGTTTGATAATGTCCCCCAAACCACAGAATTTCTAGGTTTCAACTTGATTATCTTTTTTTTTTTTTTTTTTTTTTTTTTTTGCCACCCCACGCAACTTGCAGGACCTTAGTTCCCTGGTCAGGGACTGAACCCCGGCCAAGGCAGTGAAAGCACCAAGTCTTAACCACTGGACCGCCAGGGAATTCCCCAAAACTTGATTATCTTAATTGCACTTCACCTTCCAGTCTGAGCCAGAAAACAATACTGGCTAGTTCACTTAATTCTTTTAAATCACCTGTATATTGAAATTTTAAAAGAAAACCAAAGCAAAATACTAACTGGTTTAGGTTGCTGAACTTGAGATTAGTTTAGATCGCATTGAACTTTAACCAGTTTCCTTTTTGGTTATGAGAAAAGAATTCGTTCTTCATGTACTCTTTTCAATTTAAAAATTATTTCTGGGACTTCCCTCGTGGTGCAGTGGTTAAGAATCCGCCTGCCAATGCAGGGGACATGGGTTTGAGCCCTGGTCCGGGAAGATCCCACATGCTGTGGAGCAACTAAGCCCGTGCACCACAACTACTGAAGCCCGCACGCCTAGAGCCCGTGCTCCACAACAGAAGCCACCACAGTGAGAAGCCTGGGCACCGCAACGAAGAGTACCCCTGCTCACCACAGCTAGAGAGAGCCCACGCACAGGAACGAAGACCAAATGCAGCAAAAATAAATAAATATAAAACAATAAAATAGCACCCATATTAAATGAAGTGTAGGTTAAAAAAAATTAAAAAAATAAAAATTATTTCTGATTTCCCTCCATGTTTAGGACACAAATTTCCAGGATTCAAAGACAGAACTTTAAAAAGTGTTTGTCAGAGCACTTTCCCCTCCTTATACCTAATTTATAAGTCAGATAGATTAGCAATTATCAATTTAGCTCTCAATTCAACATCTTAAGTACCAGATTCCTGTCTATTAAACAAAAATACTTGACTACTCTTAGGCAAAACCAAAAGAAAAAAAAATAGAAAAAAACCAAAACAAATGAAAAAACCAACCCCTCACAAACAATAAGAACAACCCCCCCCCCCCCCGAAACCAAAAAATCCAAGTCAAAGAAGAAAAAAACAAAAAACAGAACACATTGCATTTTCTGAGAAAGTTTTAAAATAATTCTTACAATTACCTACAGGGGAGAATCCTTCCTTGTCTCTTCCAGCTTCTGATGTTTGCTGGCAATCCTCAGCATTCCTTGGTTTTCTCGACGAAAAATTGATTAGTCGATCTAAGAAAGAAACAGAAATTTTTATCTGAGCCAAATTTGAGGATTATAACCGGGGAAAAGCATCTCGGAAAGCTCTGAGAACTGTACCGCCCGTTAGAAGTAAAGGCACTGTTACCTAAGTTGTTTGAGACAGAGGGCTGTACATCAAATGACCTATTATTGACAGTTTACATAATCCAGATCTGCAAGTACAAGGTGGTGGGTCATGTGACCCCTTACAAGCTCAGGAAGGAATGTTATCTTTTAAGGAGTTGTCTTGGTGCTGGGAGAATGTTGCTCTTTATGGTTGAGCAGCATCCTGCTGATGTGGAAGGTTTGGTCCATGCATAATGTAGACACAATGCACAGTGACGGGAGAGAGGAGGCCAAAGGGCAGAGAAGAATTTTGTATGTTTCAATTTTTCTTGTCTGGCCATAAACTATGAATTTTACTTCACAGTTTGTAGCTGCATCACACCAACATCTGCCTTCACTGTCACATGACTGTTTTCTTCTTGTGCATCTCTCTCCTTTTCCTATAAGGATGCCACTCTGCTCCTGTATGATTTCATGTTAATTACATCAACCACCACCCTATATCCAAATTTATTCACATTCTAAAGTACCGGAGTTTAGGACTAACCTCAACATATCTTCCTGGGAGGACACAATTCAACCCACACGAGTATTCTTGGAACTTTTAAGTTGTGTGAGTTTTTGTAGTAGGAATTCACTGCCGCATTAGGCATCATGTATCCCTTAAATCTTGTTCCCCTTTTACAACTAAGAAAATAGTGAATTTGGTCAGTTTTATCTGAGAAAGTAAACTTCTGATGACTTGCTAACAACAGAGACTGATATACAATACCTGGAATTTTTACTAGGATAGGGGATAGTAAATGACTAGGTGCTTTTAAGATTACTTTTCAAGAGAGACATCAACAAACTTGGAGAGAGAGGTGAAAAATTTTAAACTAGCCCTTACAATCTTAACAAGACCTTCAGCTATTCAGGGATATCCCCTCCCTCTCACACTCTTGTTTCATTCTCTCCCCACTCACTCCATTTTCCCCCCTCCAGGTATTACCGTCCTTGGTAAGGATGCTATACACATTACTATAATTTTGTAGATTTCAACAATTGAGGTACAATTACATACAGGAAAATGAGAAAGGCAAGCAAACTTGTGCTCTTTCTGAAAGTTAGTAGGCTTCATTATTTTGTCTCTATTTTATTTTATTTATTTATTTTTTGCGGTACGCGGGCCTCTCACTGTTGTGGCCTCTCCCGTTGCGGAGCACAGGCTCCGGACGCGCAGGCGAAGCGGCCATGGCTCACGGGCCCAGCCGCTCCGCGGCACGTGGGATCTTCCCAGACAGGGGCACGAACCCGTGTCCCCTGCATCGGCAGGCGGACTCTCAACCACTGCGCCACCAGGGAAGCCCTATTTTATTTTTTCTAGATTCATTTGCTTTTCCTCCTAGCATGCTTAGCCGTACACAGCTGTCTTTTATTTTCAAATTCTCTCAAGAGCTGTGTTCTACCTGGGAGTTTCTCCCAACTGGAATGGCCTTAGCTGGCACACACCTTTCCTTCAGAACTCAGCGTCTTCTTCGAAACCTTCCCTTGGGTTTCTGAGTTCCTTTGGCACAATGTATGTGATTCTTTTTATTTTTCCCTGTTCAATTACTAGTCTTAACCAGACTGAGTTCTTCCTCTTAAGACAAAGGTGGGGGGTGTGATGTACCTTGTCTGTCTTTGCATTCCAAGTGTGTAGCCCAAAGCCTGACACATAGTGCGCGCTCAATAAAAGTTTATTGTCAGTAAGTGACAATTAACACGCATATATGTACTTCATAGTTTTCCCTGCGCGTTCACACGATCTTATTTGATCCCTACTACAACCTTATAAAATAGTAATTATCACCACCCTATCATTTCCTATTTTATTAAGTGTAGAGTAGAGACGAAGAAGTTAAGTATCTTGCCCCGCGCCAGTCAACAGTAAAGCGTGACTCGCACCTGGTTTTCCAAGACTCCCAAGTACCGGGCTCTTGACATCATACAACATGTTGAGGTCAGCGCCAACTTCACACCAGGATTTAAACTTGGGGAGACCCGCTGCGGCCGCACTTTCGGACGCAGGGCTGAGATGCGCAAAGCCTCAGAGGGGCACCTGGGACCCTGGACTACAACTCCCAGAAACCCCTGGGGGCAAAGCCTCAGGTGAGTGGTTGAGATCTAGCAGCCCATAGAGCCGCGACGAGCTCCTACAGACCAATCACGGGCCGGAAGGGCGGGTCCTCCCACGCTGAGGCTGGATTGCGCGCAGAAACTAACAGTATTCTGAGTTTCCCCAAACCCTGAGGGGACTCAGAGTCTCGGCCGGCGCCTCGGCCGCCACGTCGTCCTCCTTTTCGGGTCTATCCCGCGCCCTCCCGGAGACCCGGCCTCCGGTCGCGCGGGTCTAGCCGCCAGGCCCTTGCCGAGGACAGGCCAGGTGGCCGAGAAGAAAGCACGTGCTTGAGCAGTGGTCTGGGCCAGGGGTCCGCCTGTCGTCGCCGCGCCGCGCCAGGGTCCTGAGGGGAGGCCCCTCCCTCAGTGTCCCCCGGACTCCGGCCTTCTGTGAACCACTGGCCCCGCGCTGGCTGGCGTGGTTCTGGGCCGTCACGTGTGGAGGGAGGGTGCGTCTTCCCCGCCGCGTCCCCGGCCCGAGGAGGAGAGGACTCCGCAGCATGTCCCCCGCGCTCCACGACCTGACGCCATCCGGTAACGCTACGACCCGCTCTCCGCGCTTCGGTGGTTTATTGCCTCCTAATCCCTGGGGTGATTCAGTCACCACCCGGAGACACCTGGTTAGGTTTCCCCATGGGCGGGCGGCGCCTTTGAACTTGCGGAGGAGCCCCGAGGTACCACGTTTTCTTGCTGCGTTCCTTCCCTCCACCCACTTCCCCCTTCCTCCCCAGGCAAACCAACCATCAAATCCGTAGAGCACACCCCCTACCCGCAATGCCCCCGAAACACATTCTGAACGTCAAGGTAACTACACTTTGCAGTTTGACGTAGCGTATTCCTGCAGGGCCCTATGGAAGTTTTGCATGATTGAACGTTCTCATTCAGCATATGTTTACTGAGCACCTAAGCCAAAGAAGGTTCAGGCGCTGAGAGGTAAGGAAGCCCAGAGAACTATTTAAAACTGCGTTGAAGTTTTATTTTCCACTTCGGGGTTAGAGCAGTAGTTCTGCAAACTCCAGTGTGCATAGAATCACTATGTTAAAATAGATTAGCAGGTACACAGTAGGTCGGGATGTGGAGTAATAATCCTGAGTGATTATGATGTTGGTGGCTCCGGCATCAACAATGAGGGGAAAAAAAACGAACAAACTAGTTTAGCACAAGAACAGAATATATTTTCAGCTTTAAAATGAGCTCTGGGCCTTTAATGCCGTCCCTGATTATAATTTGTGGACAAATACACCCATAAAAACATGTGAGGTATGAAGTAGAAAATGAAGAAACAAGAGAATCAGTAATAAGGACGGAACAGTAGCAATGCTATGACAGATGATGCTGTTCAGCTCAGGGAGGAGCGTGAAGACTGAATTCATAACTCAGAAATTTTTCGGAGGTGAGCTAGTGACCCTTTAGATTGTAAGGTCCTGATAAATGGGACCGTTAGAATTGTTCATGAAACAAGTGGAACTATGACTGAGAAACATTTGATCACTGTTGCTATAAAGTAAGACCTGTATCTCTCACAGGGGTGTCATTTATTTATTTGAACAATATCTCTTACCGATGACTTGTGGCACTCCCCTCCCCGTTTAATTAAAAAAGGAGGTATGTGATTTCCCTCATCCAGCAGCAAAATGCCTCTAAAGATTTAGAATAGTTTGAATACTGAGTGATCTTTGTACAGCAGATGAAAGGAAAATTGTTGAGTATTTGAATCTAGCTCAGCTCCCTGACCCCAAGGCTCACTTCTGCTGCTTCTCTCAGTGTGGGCAGCCTGTATGTTGGGGTGAGAATCAGGTTTTAACTTCCTAAAAACCCTTACTTAGTTACTTATTGGTGTCCAGTCTTAGTGAAGCTCTTTAATGAAGAACTGGGAATTCTTGAATCTCGAGGTCAGGCCTTAAGCCTAAATGTCCATGACCTCAGACCATGGTTGTACCCGCTTAGGAAAGAGGCTGGTGGGCTAGCAAATACTTCTTGTGAGAAAAGTTTAACTACAGCTTCTAAACATTTCTTAGTTTCATCCTTGCTATCAATGTTATCTGGAACTCAGTTGTTAAGTGATTAATGAAAGAATGACTAAATGAGCCAGTGAATTGATATCAGCCAGTTACCTGATTCTAATTCTTCCCTGTCTTATTAAAATCAAAGCGGAAATAGTATATTTCAGAAATGGAACATTGCACAAGCAGAGAGATGTCTACAAAGTGTAGCAAGTTGGTGCAACCTAGAAGTTAGAGATTCAAAAATGAAGTATCTTGCAAGGGACTTATAGGGCAGCAGTAAGATAGTCTTTAATATAGTAAAGTCAGGAAACTGCTGAGAATGTGTTGGGATCATTTTTTTACAATGCAGAAAATGAAAACTTCTTTTCCTTGCTCTGTGTGTTCCCCAGTTAGTGCAGTGGATATGGGAGTCCTAAATAAATGAGCTACATGGGATCATTCTATCCCCAGAGGAAATGTGTTCCTGACACTAATTTATTACCTAAAATCCTGTGTATTAGGGGTTTATTTGTTTATGCCTTCATCTTGTCATTCTTCAGGATGGTTCTTAAAGGTGATAGTATCTGACTTACCCACCTCAACATCTAATTGGTGTTTTAACCAGTTAACCCATGTTTGTTTATTCTTTGGAACACTTATTATGAATCACAGTATTATTACTGGGAAATAAAACGTTAGTGGTAGAAAAAAAATCACCCAAATAAACAAAATACATTGTCTAGGTCCTCTCAAACTGGGAAAAATACTATGATCTCTTAGGCTCGCTAGATAAGGACTCTCTCTTCTGGACTGCATATCTATATAATACATATATATGTTAAACTTAAAGGTATTTCTGAGACACTGTTGTAACTAGTCAGTTAAATGAAGGACCTGCAAAACTTCTACTGTGAAAGATGTTAGGGAGAATCTGCTCTGTTTAGAACCTGACTAGTCAGGAGTAAAATGTACAGAATGTACAGAATGTTCTAGGGCTTCCCTGGTGGCGCACTGGTTGAGAGTCCGCCTGCCGATGCAGGGGACACGGGTTCGTGTCCCGGTCTGGGAAGATCCCACATGCCGCGGAGCGGCTGGGCCCGTGAGCCATGGCTGCTTTACCTGTGCACCCGGAGCCTGTGCTCCACAACGGGAGAGGCCACAACGGTGAGAGGCCCGCGTACCACAAAAAAAAAAAAAAGTACAGAATGTTCTAGACCTAATGAACTAAATACAGATAAATACCAGAGGTTTGATTTGTTGTTTTTGTTGTTTATGGGAGAGCAGCATTTCAACAAATGCTCACCCTGCCAAGGGAAAGGAGAATTGTTAAGGTGACTTACTCTTATGAGAAGGTTCTGGAGGAGCAATGGTGATGAGAAGCCAGTGAAAGATAATCCCATACTGGAAAGTCTTGCGGAACACATAAAGATTAGAACAGTGAACACATATGCTAACAAATATGGGAGGAGGATCTTTTAGTTTCTCTTATGGTAAATCTTACGTTATCCCCCAAAGGATAAATAAACGTGGAAAATGTAGATGCATTGGATTTTTAAGGACCTCAGTTGCAGAGGAGTTTTGTGTTCAATCCTTACAATTTCCACTCATATTTTTTTTATTATGTGTTCCCTTTTGCCTCTATTTTCTGTTCACAATTCTCTTGCTCCTGTTTCACATATTTCCACGTATTTGTACATTTCCTTGTAGACTCTAGTCTGTGTATGTATTTTTAATTCATATAAATATAAACCTGGTAGTTAGTCATTTCTAACTTTCTCCCTCAATATTCTGTCTGTACAGTAGAGCAACACAGAGGTAGATCCGGCTGCCACCCAGCAGTATTCTGCATGAGCATCCTGCACATTTGACTTTGCCATTTCCCAAGGTTGTCTGCAACTTGCCACTTCTATAAACATCCTCTGATTTGTTCTCTGTGGATCGATGGAGACTTTGTTTGGGAAATACCAGGAGTAAGATTGTTGGGTTTTCCTCATGCTTAATTTTACTGACTCCTGCTAGGCTGCTCTCCACAATGGCTGTATCTGTCTATGTTCCAAAAAGCAAGAGTTCAGATTTTCTTTGGCATTATCCAGTCTTCTAATTATTGCCCATCCATTGTGTATATATTGGTTTTGTCTTGTTTTAATTCCTGTCTTTTTGATAGTTAATGAGTTGGAGCATCTCTTCATATACTTGTTGATTGTTCAATTTTTCCTTCTCTTGGTTTGCTTATTCACATCTTTTGCCCATTTTTCTATTTGATTTCTTATTGATTTGTAGGAGCTCCTGGTACATAATAGATGTTAGTCCCTTTCACTTACACCTTTTTTTTTTTTTTTAATTTTTTTTTCTTTGGCCGTGCTGTGCTGCTTGTGGAATCTTAGTTCCCTGAGGCGGAATCTTAGTTCCTGCTTAGTTCCCTGAGCAGGAATCGAACCTGGGCCCCCAGCAGTGGAAACGCAGAGTCCTAACCACTGGACTGCCAGGGAATTCCCAGTCCCTTTCAGTTATAGACATTGCAGAATCTTCCTCCAATTCATAATCTGTTTATTACTTTTGTCTGTGGTGACTGTCATTTAACAGAAATTCTTAGTTTTTATGTAATCAAATTCACCTTTTTTTTTTTAACATTATAGATTGAGCTTTTTGAGTCTTTGGAAGTCTTTCCCTATGCTAAGTAATAAAGATATTCTATATTTTACTTTCCTTATTTTATTATATTGTTTTGTAGTATATCATAGTATTTGGTAGGCCAAATAATCTCTTCCTACTTTTTAAAAGTTAACTTAGCTCTTTCTGGACTTTTAGTCTTCCACATAAGTTACAGAGTAAGTTTATCAAGTTTCTCATAAAAATTCACATGTTTTGTCTAGAGTTTACAAAAAACCTTTGATCTCTTACATATGTGATGACTCTTAACAAGATATCACAGTTTGTATGTGTGGGGATGGGGTTGTTTTATGGTAAATAGTGAACTATCTTTTTTTTTTCTGGCTTTGCCACGCGGCATGCGGGATCTTAGTTCCCTGATCAGGGATCGAATCTGTGCCCCCTGCAGTGGAAGCCCAGAGTCCTAACCACTGGACGGCCAAGGAAGTCCCTATAGTGAACTGTCTTACAGATTGAAAACAATCTATATTTCTGATTTGAGAAGTGAATACAGTGGAGGCCTCATGAAAAAATGCTTAGACTTCTTATGAAAATGGGAGAAGTGAGGTGCACTCCATTGTCAGATTTGCAGTGAGTAGAGAAAAGCCAAACCAACACTGATGAGCTAGACCAGGGTGGGAGGAGGTGGGGCATTTCTTATGTTGTTAAGTTAATTTCTCCTTTCTTCTTCCTGTCTCCTTAAGCATCTGTGCACGTGGTCAGTGGAGGAGATAGAAGGACAAAGACATGTAAATAATATGATACTGATTGACTATTTTGCTGATGCGAAAGGCATATTTCATTGTGGAAAAGACTGGGTTTTTTTTCCTAGAAGGTTTGAATACTTTTTAAATTTCAGATGCATCACTTACTCCCCCCCCCCCCCCACCATGTCCACACCCTGTGCGCCCACAGTTGGGTGATTCAGTCACACCTACTTAAGCTCACATGCTCTTATTTCAGGGTGGATTGCAGCTGCATTCTTTTAAGAAAAAAGGAACTCAGTTGAGCATATAGGTTAAAGTTTTTAATCTTCTCTCTTCTTATTCCCCATCTGAAAGGATCTCCATTTAAAAGTTTTCACCAAGTATTGTCTTCCCTCTGCCACATTCATGTTCATTTCCAAACCTGTAAACATGCCATCCCTGCTTCCTGCCCCAAGATGAACAGAGCTGATAGCTTCAGGCTTATGTGATGCTTTTTCATGGTCTGCTGGACACTGTAGTATATAGAAAGCAACCTTTAGAGTTTCAAGCCCAGCTCCACTTTTTATCAGCTATGCAATAATAATGACATAGTAAGAGTCATTAACATTTACGGGCTGTTTATGTGAAGGATATATGTCTCATTTCATGACTTGTGTGATTTGAGAGTCCCAGCTGTTAACATCTGAAATTTGCTTTCAAACACATTGTTTCATTCTCTTATCACACTTTCTGTGATAAAGGCGGGGCATATCTTGTCCAAAACCCCATAGCTACTTATGAGAGTGAGGACTAAAACCCCAATTTCTTGGCTTTTTTTGTCGTCACCATTAACTTAATCATGTCAAATTCTGGGTGCTTATTAGCTGATAGGACAACCACATCATGGGGTGTCCAAATTAATGCCACACCTGAATTGCCTTTTTTGACTTTAGCTGGAAATGACTGGACCACTGCCGGATTGCCTACCAATCTTTCTATTATACATGTCTCAATAAGCCCTGCTTTTCTTCACATTCCCAGGAAGTGATTTTTTTCCTTTGGTACTTGAAGTACTACTGGTCAGATCATTGGATCTTAACTTTGTTCCTTTTTCAGGAAGAGTTTTCTTTCACCTGTCAGTTCAATAAACAGAATTAGCCAGTGAGTTGGTTTTGGAAAGGGATAGTAAACCCTGAAATAAGCATAATGTCCTTTGGGAAAGAAACCAGATATTGGCAAATTTGCCTTGGGGGTTGCTAGAGCAAACCTTTCTGAAGCCTATTAGGAGTAGATCAGTCAAAATAGCTCTGTAGCCATCATTTAGCTCCTGTTTCTGTATTGAGTACCTAAGACTCTGGACAGTAAGACAGCGCTGGCTTGTAAATTTGCACCCAATGCCAGCTTACAAATCTTCATACATTACTGGTTTGGGTTTTAGATGACCTTCTCTTCTTTCTCATCTTTCCTCACTTTTTTGCTGTCTCAATTAAGGAAAGAGTTACTGAACACTTAGGTGTCAGGTACTGTCCTTGGTATTGCTAGGGACAGCGATTAGTTGGTGTAGTCACAGTCTTTTCCTCCAAGAGGCTCAAATAGCTTAGAGCCAGCTGCATTTTATTCCAGCTTTGTTCCTCTTTTAGGGAGCACAGAAGGCCATGTTGACAGCAGAGGTGGGTGTCATTGTGATTTGTGGTGAATAACTTGTAAGTTTGGTGGGCAGTAAGGGATTTTTTTTTTTTTTTTTTTTTGCGGTACGCGGGCCTCTCACTGTTGTGACCTCTCCGGTTGTGGAGCACAGGCTCCGGACGCGCAGGCTCAGTGGCCATGGCTCACGGGCCCAGCCGCTCTGCGGCATGTGGGATCTTCCCGGACTGGGGCACGAACCCGTGTCCCCTGCATCGGCAGGTGGACTCTCAACCACTGTGCCACCAGGGAAGCCCGGCAGTAAGGGATTGGTGAAGGTTTTTGAGCAAGGGAAGCAGCTGGTTTAAACTTGTACTTTAGGAAGATGAATCTGGTCGTGGTGCATAGGATGGGTTGGAATGTAGGGTGACCAGGTACAGTCACCCCGGTGGTCATAATCTCTTACCTTTGTAGGACACTTGATTTTTTACAAAGCATCTTCATATCTGATCCCATTTAACCCGTAAGACAACTCCATGAGGTAGGATGAGCAGGTATTGTTATTCTCAGTTTTCATGGATGCAAACTGAAGCTCAGAGAGGATCTGTGATGGCTGGGATGTGTAGTAAGGGCTTGAAGAAAGGGTGGCACTGGGGATGGAAGGTGGGCCCAATGTGAATGCTTTTTTGGTTTTTGGGGGTTCTTTTGGCCATGCCACTTGGCATGTGGAATCTTAGTTCCCCGACCAGGGATCAAACCCATGCCCCCTTTCTGTAGTGGAAGTGCGGAGTCTTAACCACTGGACCACCAGGGAAGTCCATGAATGGCATTTTGGATGCCAGATCTATAGGGCTTGAGATCTGAGTAGATGCTGGTTATCAGGGCGAGTGAGGAGTCAGTTGACACTGAGGTTGTCAGGTCAGGCTTCTGGGAAGGGTGGTGCCATTCACAGAAACAGGAAGAGCAGACAGGAAATTTGGCAGGTTTGGATTTGGATAATAGATTGAGGGGCAGGTGGGTATTCTAGGGGGCCGTCACAGGTGGACACCTTGAAATCTGGGTCTAAGATTGGAGCCAGTGTTTGAGAATTCGAAGGTCGTGGGTGCCTTTGGAGAGTAATTGCGGTAGAGAGGCAGAGGAGGAAGCCACAGCGAGAAGACAGGTTGAGCTAGAGCTGCCCGGGGTTGGCGGGGGTGGGGGGGTGGGGGGCGGAGTTGGAAGGGAGGAGCAGTGGGAGGTGTGGGTGGAGCTGGTCAAGTGCTCTTCTTTAGGTGCAGAGGGAGCCGAGCTGCAAGAGGATTTTGAGGTGGAGGGGGGTGAATTTGAGGCGCTCCCCAAAGAAGACTCTTTTGTACAGGATTAGGTGAAATCACCTGTGAGTGAAAAGGATGAGAAGGATTTGGTGCCAAAAGCAAGCAGAGGTTTGGGACAGCAGGTGTGGGAAGTGTTGAGAGCGCCGAGAAAAGGTGAACCAAACGAGAGGCTCCATGTTAGGAATTTTCAGTGACTCCAAACAGCATGGTTTTGTGGCTTTCCAGTAGTTCTTGGAGACCATAAAGTAGGATTGGAAGGAGTAGGCCTTGGGGCTTTTGAGGACCGGGAATTAGGAGAAGTCAAGGGCACAGGGAGAGTTGAGAATCTCCAGGGTGTTAAGCAGCCATCGGTCCGGAGGTGGAGCAGGGGTGAGGAAAACCCTGTGTGTAGGCTACGTGAGTTCTGGCAGTAGGTGGGAGAGACCGTCAAAGTTAACAGTCTAAATGGCAGTTTGGAATTATTGATGGCTTTCAATTATCAAGCTAAATCTCCTTATTGAGGGGACACATGCACAGAACCAACAGAGAGCCCTAAAGATGTTCTCCGGCAGGTGGCCTGGCCTTGTTAACACTGGGCTCTTTGCTGCCTGTTTTGCTCATCTTCGAAACAGGAACAACTGGAGCCTACTTTAACCTTGGTGTCGTGCTTTACCAGTGATTCTGTGCTTTGTAGAGTGTCCTATTTCATTAAGCATTGTTATTTAAACATTCTGGGGCAGCATTTTTCAAATGCCTCAAGGTTACAAGCACATGTTTTATGAGCCCCATTTACTCCCTGTTGTGAATTAGTATAATTTAGTCTACACTCCCTCTCCACACACGTTTTCCCCCTTTCATTTTGTAAAGTCCGATTTTCACTTTCTTTAAAGCAGGAATGAAGAAGACCCTGCAGGATGAGATTGACACCATCCTGCGGGAGAGGATTATGGTGCTTGATGGAGGGATGGGGACCATGATCCAGCGGCACAAGCTGAGTGAAGATGACTTCCGAGGACAAGAATTTAAAGATCACGCCAGGCCCCTGAAAGGCAACAATGACATTTTAAGTATAACTCAGCCCGATGTCATTTACCAAATCCATAAGGTAAAGCATCCCCAGGTTCTTATATTTTCATCCTGTCATTCCAAAAGGCCTTTGGTGTCCTGAGGGCAGACCACTGGGCCAAGTGCTCTGGGGGAGAGAGAAGAAAGGGGTGATTTGTTCAGACAGAGGTGGCTTATTCAGAAAGCAGGTTTTGGGCACCATGTAAAAGTCGTATTGAGCATTCAAGATAAGGAAATGAGGACGGCAGGTTTTCTGCCTTTGAGGCATTTCAACGACAGTGAAAAACCATAAAATCCTGGACAAATTAGGGTTTTTACCTACACTAACTTATTTAAGTCACCACAACAGCCCTGATGAAGTAAAACTGAAAGGTAGTTGTTACTCTCATTTTGTAGATTTGGAAACTGAGCACCTCAGAGTCTAAATAACTTGCCTGACGTTACAGAGGTTTACTGACTTGAAAACCCGTGTTCTTTCATGCCATTTTCCTGTCTTTAATAAAAATGACTAGCCTTGGTCAGGGAACTAAGATCCTGCAAGCTGTGTGGCATGACCAAAAAATAAATAAATTAATAAAAATGGCTAGCCAACATAAAGAAATCAGAAGCAAGTAACTGAGTATTGCTAGACTTTTAAAATTTAAAAATAAGTGTAGGACTAAATTGTTTCATAGGTTATCATGGGAATTTCATAGGATTATGACTAGAAGAGATAATAAGGTGATTTAATCTGTTTTTCTGGTCTGCATTCAATTTGAAGGACAAACATATTTACCAGGGAAGTGAGAAAGTCTTATCTTTTGGAGAAGGGCATTGTTATAGGTGTTTCAGAGTTTTTTTAAAAAAATTGAGGCATAATTGACAAAGAACATAACATTGGTTTCAGGTGTACAATGTCATGATTTGAAATTTGTATATATTGTGAAACGGTCACCATGGTAAGTCTAGCTAACATCTGTTACCCTACACAGTTGCAATTTTTTTTCCTTGTGATGAGGATTTTTAAGATCTACTTTCTTAGCAACTTTCAAATATACAATACAGTAGTATTAAACATAGTCACCATGTTGTACATTACATCCCCATGACTTATTTATTTTATAACTGGAAGTTTGTACCTTTTGACCCGTTCATCCATTTCCCCTCCCCTCCACCCTCCACCTCTGGCAACCACCTTCCTTCTTTTTTATAGCTCAGTTATATTCCATTGCATATACATATAACATTTTCTTTATTCAGCCATCAGTGGACACTTAAGATTGTCTCCATATGTTGGCAACTGTAAATAATGCTGCAGTGAACGTGGGGGTGCATCTATCTTTTTGAGTTAGTGTTTTTGTTTTCTTTGGATATTACCCAGAAATAGAATTGCTGGATCATATAGTAGTTCTATTTTTAATTTTTTGAGGAACGTGCATTCTGTTTCCCATAGTGGCTGCACAAATTTATATTCCTGCCAACAGTGCGAGAGGATTCCCTTTTCTCCACCTCCCCACCAACACTTGTTATTTCTTATCTTTTTGATAATAGGCATTCTGATAGGTGAGAGGTGATATCGTGTGGTTTTAATTTGCATTTTCCCTGATGATTAGTGATGTTGAGCATCTTTTCATGTACCTGTTGGCCATCTGTATGTCTTCTTTGGAAAAATGTCTATTCAGATCTGCCCATTTTGTTTTTTTGACCGTGCTGCGAGGCATGTAGGATCTTAGTTCCCTGAGCAGGGATCAAACCTGCACCCCCTGCAGTGGAAGTGTGGTGTCTTAACCACTGGACTGCCAGGGAAGTCCTGTCTTCTGCCCATTTTTGAATTGGATTGTTTGGATTGTTTTTTGCTACTGTGTTGTATGAGTTCTTTGTCTATTTTGGATATCCTTATCAGACACATGATTTGCAGATATTTTCTCCCATTCAGTAGGTTGCCTTTTCATTTTGTTGATGGTTTCCTTTGCTATGCAGATGATTTTTAGTTTGATATAGTCCCACTTATTTATTTTTTGCTTTTGTTGCCTTTCAGACTCTTCTTAGAGAAACAAAAACTCAAATGAATCAGTGATTAAATGATTCATTGAGGGTGGAAAGGACCCTTCTCTTGGGTGGTCAAGACTTTGTTCTAGATAAGATGCAGAACGGTTTTCATTTGAAGAAGAACTAGGAATGCCTTTCCTTTGGTCATGATGGAAATTGTAGTTGCTGGAAGATTTTAAATTGGTCCTTGAAGAGTTTTGGTTCTACGAGTTTTTCTGCGAGGCCTGAGACTATGTAGTCAAATTGCATTATAAAATTCCAGTATATTGTGGACTGGGAATGCCATCATGGGTATGAATTGCTTGGCGTGGTTACAAACATCAGTTCTTATTATGCAGTTGGTAAAATCACCACCCTCCCCCAACCCCCGACACCCAGGCCAGCCCATGATGTGTGGCTTTGTCCTCATTCAAGTGGATTATCACTAGAGTATGAGCTTCCTGAGGGCAGGAATTTGGGCCTGCTTTTCACTACTGAATCCCTACTGCCTAAAACAGTATCTTGCACGTAGTAAGTCAGTAAATTTTTTTAAAAATAAATTTTATTTATTTATTTATTTTTGGCTGCGTTGGGTCTTTGTTGCTGCACGGAGGCTTTCACTAGTTGCAGCAAGCAGGGGCTACTCTTCGTTGCGATGCACGGGCTTCTCATTGCGGTGGCTTCTCTGGCTGTGGAGCACGGGCTCTAGGAGCGCAGGCTTCAGTAGTTGTGGCTCGGGCTCAGTAGTTGTGGCTTGCAGGCTCTAGAGCGCAGGCTCCGTAGCTGTGGCACATGGGCTTAGTTGCTCCGCGGCATGTGGGATCTTCCGGACCAGGGCTCAAACCTTTGTCCCCTGCATTGGCAGGTGGATTCTTAACCACTGCGCCACCAGGGAAGTCCCAGTAAATGTTTTTTGAGGGAACGAATCTTTGTCCTGTGAGTTAGATAGGCATGTAGATAGAACAGCAAGTTTCCCAAGATAGGGACATGAAGCAAAAATGACTGTAAATACCATAAGGTGTAACCTAGCTGTCCCATTCGTGGGGGGAATATTGACTAGCTGGAATTCTCTGGATGTAGAGACCGTGTCGTGTTCATGGATGAGGAAGGGGAAAAGACTGGGTTATTTTCACACTTAGTTATTTCTAGTGGAGTTACTGACCATAGAGCTGATCCCCTGATACTTAATTTTAATGGAATGGCCAGGTCCTATTTGAAGTGCAAGTGTCTGACACTAAGCTTTTTTGATTGTAATGTAAGTGCCTGACATTAAGCTTTTGGTTGCAGAGGCATCGTTTCAGAGGCATCCATGTCAATTAACACCCTGCCAGTTGTGTGACACATCTGCTAGCTAAACAGCCAGACCAGGAACCAGGCTTCTCCCAGCCACGAAATACCCTTTTTAGAAAGGGAATTTTCATAACCTCGATGAATTACCCTGCTTTTTCCTTCCTGAGCCCTAATTTCTGCTCTTAGGTTTTAAGTTCTCCAATAAAGAGTGAACCCACAAAACCCTAGGCACCCCTGCATTGACCCCAATAAAGGCAGAACCCCCGGTTTCTCGGTCATTCCTGCCCAACCCCCGCCTTCCCCCAGCTACCTCACTGTATGGCCCGGGCATGCCTGTGAGTAATAAACCTTGATTTTTTCCAAAAGTTCCCTGATGGTTGTTGCTGAGGTGAGTCTTGCAATCATAATAAGAACCAGTAGCGCCAGTGTAGCTGTGGCATTGGCTCGGTCCTGGCTCAGCACAGGCGGTAAGGGCCTATGTGAGTGCATCAGGCATTCCTAGCCCATCACTGTTGATAGGCTGAGACCAACAGGAACCAATATTTAAAACACCTGTTGGTAGCCTGTGGCCTTGCTGTCATTAATGACCTCCTTTAATCTTGACAGCTTTCTATTGATTCATGGGAAAACTGAGGAGAAATTAAGTAGCTTGCCCTTATCACACGTGTTTTAAATTGGTGAGAATAGGCTTAGAATCTCAGGGGTGTCATATCCGGGGCTCATGAGTGGGATATTGTTCTGGGAAAAAAGGTGGAGAGAAAGGGTGAAGAGCTAGAAGAAACACCTTTTAAACTTTATATTATTTAAAATTTTAAATCTACACACAATTGGAGAAAATAATAACTAGGAATTTAGAAATATTTTTTCCCTAATTATAAAGACAATATGTGTTCATCGTTACAAAAATAAAATGTCTAGCTAGATGCTATAGAAAGCATAAAGGAGAAAATTAAAACCACCTGTGATATCGATACCAAGACATAATTGCCATTCACATATTTTAATTTATATTTCAGTCTAGTTTTCTGTGTTTGGATTTTTAAAATTAAATTGGGATTATTATTGCTTCATACTATTTTATAATTTGCATTTTTTACTTAATACCATGAGCCTTAAATATCCTGAGACATGGTTTTAATAACTTTATTATAATCTATTCTACATATATACCATCATTTACTTAACTAACCTTATTCTTAGGCATTAAGGTTGTTTTCAGTTTTTCTTGCTCTTTGTTGAAAAACTGAATTTTAATTTGTTCTTATAAAACAGAACCCATAGATAAGAATAAATTCCCTTTTTACCACTACTCCAAATTTCTGTTTTTTCCCCAGAGATAACCACTTATACTAGTTGATGTATGTCTTTCCAGATCATTTGTTATGCATTTATGTATATGTATATATTATGTATGTACATGTATACATATAGATATCTGTAGAAAACTCAGTACAATTTGTGTGTATGTATGTTTTAAACTTAATGGTGTCATGGTTTACGTATCAGTCAATTTTGTTTTTCTACTCAATACTTTTGGAGATTTTCCGTGTTAGTGTATGTACATATATGTGCACACTTTTTTTTAGCTGCCACATAGCATGTAATAAAATGGACATATTATAGTTTATTTAGTCATTTCCCTAGTGATAGATAGTTGGGATGTTTGTGACTTATTGTAAATGTGTGAATCTTGGTTTTCATTTCCCAGCTCTTCTGCAAACAGTGTCCATCTGCTTAGGTGGGGTTGGGCTTACTCACTATTGGAAAATCAAGAGATTCCAGAATTTTCATCGGATTGAGGTTGAGATGGTGTCCAAAGAGTGAAACAAGGCAGAAATGTTTCAAACAGGGAGAACCGGAGGGCACCGAGGTCCTCAGGGTTTCGTAAGGGTGCAGATGTGGCTCAGAGGGACCAGGAGCTGTGCACTGAAACAACGGTGGTCAGAATCAAGACTGCAGAGATAGTGCCCTTCTCAGCGGGGTTCTCACTGTGCTGAAGCAGAGAGCTGGCAAAGGAACAGAAGGAATGTTCCTTGGCCATCGTGTGCCAGAAGCTTGGTGTGTGATCTGTACCATCATCTGGCCACCCGGTGAAGTAGGGTTAGGGTTATACTATTTTCAAATGAGGAAACTGAAACTCAGAGTTTAAAGAACTTGACTCAATTCACACCACAAGTGAACTTTGTCTGAATTCAAGTTCTGTGTTTATTTGTTCATATCACAGGCCTTTCTGTGAAATCCTTAGGTTTTTTTGCATCCCCAGCCTCTATCTAGTACAGTGCCTTGCACTTAGTAAGTGGTCAAAAGATGTTTGGTGGCCTTGGTGAGGAAAAGACTAGTTTATTGTTGGGGGACAGGGATTCTAAAATTCATAGCATTGACATTACTTTCTCTTGTGGCAGGATTACTTGCTGGCTGGGGCAGATATCATTGAAACAAATACTTTTAGCAGCACTGCTATTGCCCAAGCTGACTATGGCCTCGAACACTTGGTAAGGACTTCATTTTTCCTTGTATCTAAGATATTCATGAGCGTTTGCTGCATTGGTAATTGCTAGTGAGAAAACCAGCCAAAGCTGCAGAGTCAAGCTAATGCCTAGTTATCTATTATTTGTGGTCAGATGCGGAAAATGGTTAGAATCGCTTCTGCTTATACACACAACAGCCCATTCATTTTCCAGCTGCTTTCTTTATGGGCAAGTAATAATCAAATAAAAACGATACTCATTATGCAGTGACTTGAATAAAAGCATAATGATTGGCCATGTGCACAGTTCTGTGAAGCCTTTTTAAGTTGGGGGCCAGATTTGGTTTCCTTTCTTTAAAAAATTGTGGAAAAATACATGTAACATAAAATTTACTATTTTAACCAATTTTAAGTGTACAGTTCAGTGTCATTAAGTACATTCACATTGTTGTGCTACCATTACCACCATCTGTCCGTGGAACTCTTTTCACCTTGTAGAACTTAGACTCTGTACCCATTAAACAATAATTCCCAATTTTCCCTTCCACCTCAGCCCTTAGAAACCACCATTCTACTTTCTGTCTCTATGAATTTAACTCCCCTAGCTACCTTATCTGAGTGGATCATACAGTTTTTGTCCTTTTGTGACTTATCTTGTTTCACTTAGTTTAATGTCCCTAAGGTTCACTGATGATGTAGCATGTATCAGAATATCGTACTCTTTCGAGGTTGAATAATATTCCACCGTATGGATATGCCACATTTTGTTTATTCATTCATCCGCTGAGGGACATGGGCTGATTCCACCTTTTGGCTCCTGTGAACAATGTTACTATGAGCATGGTGTACAGATAATCTGTTCTTCATCCCTGCTTTCATTTCCTTTGAGTATCTATACATAACCAGAAGTAGAGTTGCCGAATTATACACTAATTCAATGTTTAATTTTTGGCGAAACCACCATACTGTTTTCCACAGTGGCTGCATCATTTTGTATACCCACCAATAGTGTACAAGGTTTCCAGTTTTTACACATCTTTGCCAGCATTTGTTTTGTTTTTGTTTTTTCTTGATAGTAAGCATCCTAGTGGGTGTGGGGTAAAGGATTTCATTTCTTTTTAGTCAACAGGATGCTTCCATATTCAAGTTTTGTAAATGGTTAATGATGAAAATATATGGTAGATGCTGAGGTCCCCATTTCTGGGTGGGATTTTTCCAGAACTTGCCTCTGTGTTCATGCACATAGTTCTGAGTTCTCTGACACTGTTTTCCCTTATGGTGATGGGGCTTTGTGAAATCACTTGCCTTGTGGGTTATCAAGGGAATTATTTGAGGGCAGGAGTTGGCAAACATTTTCCGTTAAGGGCCAGACAGTAAATATTTTAAGCTTTGTTGGCTAGTACTGTCTCTTTTGCAACTACTCAACGCTAGCATTATAGTGCAAAAGCAGCAACAGACAATACGTAAATGAATGGGCTTGAGTGTTTTTCGGTAAAACTTGCTGGCATTACTTTGTATGTTTCTGCATGCTTGCTTTATTTCCTAGTGAGAGGGTTCGTGGCCCTTCTCCAAATTCTCAAGAGTTTCATAATCTACAAAAACTTGAGACCCACTGATTCCCACCATTGTACAGTGTAGGAAGCCAGGACCTGGAGGAGTTCCTAAGGGAACCACCCTGGCAGGTAGTGACAGAGCTGGTTTTAGAACCCAGGTCTTCTGTCTCTGAAGCCCCTGCTTTTTCCATTACTATGCTTTTTTCTAACTCAGAATATTTCACTACATCAGCTTATTCTGACATGCCAGACGTCCGGAGATTGCCCTTTTTGCCAGCTGGCTCCTGGTTCTGTGGAAGACCGTAAAAGCAGTTCCCAAAGACTCTTGCCTTTCCTGTTGCCCTCAGGCTGGGGCCGCTGGTAGGCCTTTTTGACTAAGATTTCATTCAGACCTCAAACTAATTCACTCCACCTTTCCTTACTGAATAAAACTGTGTTTTAGAAGGTCATGAATTCCTTATTTTATGGAGGGAAAGAAGGACAAACTAACATTTGCAGTTGATGTGTTAGGCCTACAGGATGAACAAGTGCTCTGCGGGAGTGGCCAGAAAAGCAGCTGAGGAGATAACTCTCCAGACAGGTAAGGAACAGTTTTCTCCTTTTTTTTTTTTTTTTACAAAGATGTTTCCTTTGACATCCTCAGCTATAATATACTGTCCTTACTGCCCCTTTTCCTTTCGCGACAGTTGGCCTACAGCAGCACTGCAGACACCATCACGTACTTGTTTGTAGGTTACTTCTCTGCAGTTTCATAGTCAAGCATTCAGTGTCCCTCTGAATTGACTCTGTTTCCTTGGGCCTTGGGCTCAGGGTTTACGCTGTGTTTACTCTACTGGGTGTTTTATCCTAACTTTGTAGGTAGAACTGTGACTTCCTTGTACATTTACAGCTAAAATGATTTGTCTCCCTTTGGAAGTACGTCTTTTGGTTATTGAGGCACAGCTGTTTTGGTTACATTGGTGATCATTAAGATATTTGATCTTCTCGCTTGAAAGCTTCCCTCACCCCTGTGATTTTGCCTTATTTAGGTAAAGAAAGATTGTCTTTTGAGCATCTTCTACTTCATACCACTAGTGTCTTTGAAGGCGCTGTGTACCACACAAAGAGGGTGGCATGAGAATCAGTCTTACTGGGATTTGAAAAGTGCCTCCCTGAAGTAACTAGCCTCCTGGCTGGCTGCCATAAGAACACTTGGGCACCAGCTGCAGGGGAGGCTTTGAGGGTGGGAAAGGAATGGAAGAAATACCTGCCCCTTAAGATTTGGAAACGTGAAATTATTGCCAACAGGGAAGATGTAAAGCAAAATTGTTGGGAAGTTAGACACAGCATACTGATGAAGACTGAAGCAATTTATAGGAGCTCCGTTTCTGAGAGATAATGTTGAAATCAGAAGGGCATAGACTGTTGCCCCAACAAAGTCACAGGTCAGAGGCTATCAAACCAGCTAAAGCAGGGAAAGACAAGGACGTTTTTCTTACACCCATGTTATTGTTCAGCTTTGGGGAAGATAAAGAATATCGGGGCTTGTAAGCTGTTCAAAGGCTGGGCTATCAGCTAGTGGGTAGTTTGCTCCAGTTAGATGGTAAAGCATAACCACCTGGTTAAAACCACCAAAGGTGATGAGCACTGCGGCCCTGCCCTGTGTTCCCATATGTAAGAAACACAATATCTCCGGCTCCTTTAGAAGCACCTAGACTCTAGCCTAGAGGAAAGCTTATTAAAACATTCATGAAAGAGTTTTAATGTGAGATTTGATCTGCTTCATACTTGAATTTCAGGCTTCATAATTGTTAATCGTGATTTAATATTTTCCCCCAGCAAAGGCCCTGTAGTACAGCAGTGGAGAGCATTTCAAGATCAATGCTACTGTGAAGAACTTTTGCAAAACCTATGTTCACGACCTTCAGGGTTTCTTAAGATTAGGGAGAGAGAGCATTTGTTCAAGCATAGCTATGGTGATAGGAAAGGATTGCTAACTGAAATTCTTTGAAGCCACATGTGTGAGAATTCAGAGTTTTTGGCTTGGCGGTAACATGTGCACATACTTTATATTTCATAATTTCCTCAGTGGGATCCAGGACAGCCTCATAATCAAACATCTGTTTGCAGTAAAATCTATGAATCGTCCACTAAGTGAGGTAAAGACTATAAATAGCCTCTTGTAGTTTAGGAGAGGTCAAGTTTTGTTGTCAAATGAATTAAGGAGAAAAGTGGGGCTTTTGTGCTTTTTGGATTTCAGAGTTACGGACAAAGGATTGTATACCTGTGTTCTAGGGGAAATCTGATAGCGTATTAACTTATGAGCTGTTTAGAGATTTCACACTTGTTTTTCTTTTCCTAAAGGAATTAAGAGGTATGTGGCAGGAGCTCTGGGTCCAACTAACAAGACACTCTCTGTGTCCCCATCTGTGGAAAGACCAGATTACAGGAACATCAGTGAGTATGAGATATAATCATTGACCTTGGGCAAGTACCTCTGTGTTTCAGTAATCTATAAATCTGTAAAATGGGGCCAATACCAGCATCTACTTAAGGATTATTGTGACTTAAGGGCTTACAGCAGTCCCTGGAATGTAGTAGACATTAAGATAAAAAGTGAGCTAGTATTAGTCATAGTATTAGTATTACTCATTTTGAGCCTGCTTTCAAAGGTGCATGTTGTTGTGTTTGGGCTTCTTTATGAGCTGCGGAAATGAAACCAATCAAAATAAAACTTTAAACTGAGAAGTTGAGCAAATATAGATACCAGGCCTTGGTCAGTTATAGGATAACCCACTAGACTCCCACTTTATTTATCAGAAAACAGTCTAAGCTATATATGCATGCTAGCATTGTAAACGTTGTAAACCACCATCTGTAAGCATACTGCATTGAGAGTGTATGAAAAGTCTAGAAATCTAGGGCAATTTCTTAAGCATCAGACTACAAAAAAACAAAAAGTATTGAATGATTAGAGCAGAATAGTAATGATGCTATGCGTGGTAATGAGTTCTGTGTAGAAGGCAAGTTCAGGCAAGTGTGGATTGTAGGTTTTGGTGACAGATACCACACTTTCCACCGGGGGTTGCTCATTCTGGGCTGACGTGTGGCAGTGAGGAGCTAACGTTTCCTGTCTCTTGTGCTGAATAGGATGAAGTAGGCTTCTCTATTGAATATATGAGCATCTTTTCTTTCTTGGGTGAGAGATCAAATGGGGAGAGGGGTGACCTCTCAGATGGAAGTAGACATTTCTAACAAAAATTTTATCTAGGAGTGATTAGACACTTTCGTGTTTGAGAGTGAAATTGCCCCCCAGGCAGGTTTCTTCTCTGACAGAGTTGGTGTCAGAGGGCAGGAGCAAAATCTACAGGACCGCAGACTTTTACCTTAGAGGGTGTGAGAGAATGTGATGCAACCGGTGTTGTATCCAGATCAGTGTGACACGTTTCTCCTGTTGTTCCTCACACTCATCCCTGAATTGATTAACACCATCCCTGGAAAGATCTATATTAAAGATCTTAAAAGTAAGAGCCAGGGCTCAAGAAATCAAACACCTTTCCACCCAGCCACTCATTCTCGGCTCACACATGGGAAGTGAGCCGTGTGCTAAGTGCTTAGGAGCATCTGTGTTCAATTTGCTGCTTTGACTGGCATCACTGCCATGTTTCTTACAAAAGGTGGTGTTGCCCTTAAATTATGTATTATAAACCAGCAGTGGTCAGTTCACCTGGCACCAGGCCTGAACTCAGCGTGTCCTGGGCTTTCAGAGGATGTCCATGACTAATGTCCTGGGTGTGGTTTGTTTTTTGCAGCATTTGATGAACTCGTTGAAGCATACAAAGAGCAGGCCAAAGGGCTTCTGGATGGTGGGGTTGATATCTTACTCATTGAAACTATTTTTGATACTGCCAATGCCAAGGTGAGTTAAAGGAGAAAAAAGGGGCTGGGCTGGGCTGGGGGCTGGGGTGCATCCCCTAATGTTGTGAGGAGATTGTAATAGCCATTATTAAAATTAAAGCAAATTCCTTGATTCCATTTTCTTCTTTTTTTTTTTACATCTTTATTGGAGTATAATTGCTTTACAACAAAGTGAATCAGTTATACCTATACATATGTTCCCATATCTCTTCCCTCTCTCTCCCTCCCACCCACCCTCCCTATCCCACCCCTCTGTGTGGTCACAAAGCACCGAGCTGATCTCCCTTTGCTATGCGGCTGCTTCCCACTAGCTATCTGTTTTACGTTTGGTAGTGTATATATGTCCATGTCACTCTCTCACTTTGTCACAACTTACCCTTCCCCCTCCCCATGTCCTCAAGTCCATTCTCTAGTAGGTCTGTGTCTTTATTCCTGTATTACGCCTAGGTTCTTCATGACATTTTTTTTTTTCTTAAATTCCATATATATGTGTTAGCATATGGTATTTGCCTTTCTCTTTCTGACTTCACTCTGTATGACAGACTCTAGGTCCATCCATCTCATTACAAATAGCTCAATTTCATTTCGTTTTATGGCTGAGTAATATTCCATTATATATATGTGCCACATCTTCTTTATCCATTCATCCAATGAGGGACACTTAGGTTGTTTCCATCTCCTGGCTATTGTAAATAGAGCTGCAATGAACATTTTGATACATGACTCTTTTTTTTTTTATTTTTGCCGTACACGGGCCTCTCACTGTTGTGGCCTCTCTGGTTGCGGAGCACAGGCTCCGGACGCGCAGGCTCAGCGGCCATGGCTCACGGGCCCAGCCGCTCTGCGGCATGTGGGATCTTCCCGGACCAGGGCATGAACCCGTATTCCCTGCATCAGCAGGCGGACTCTCAACCACTGCGCCACCAGGGAAGCCCACATGACTCTTTTTGAGTTATGGTTTTCTCAGGGTATATGCCCAGTAGTGGGATTGCTGGGTCGTATGGTAGTTCTATTTGTAGTTTTTTAAGGAACCTCCATACTGTTCTCCACAGTGGCTGTACCAATTCACATTCCCACCAGCAGTGCAAGAGTGTTCCCTTTTCTTCACACCCTCTCCAACATTTATTGTTTGTAGATTTTTTGATGATGGCCATTCTGACAGGTGTGAGATGATATCTCATTGTAGTTTTGATTTGCATTTCTCTAATGATTAATGATGTTGAGCATTCTTTCATGTGTTTGTTGGCAGTCTGTATATCTTCTTTGGAGAAATGTCTATTTAGGTCTTCTGCCCATTTTTGGATTGGGTTGTTTGTTTTTTTGTTATTGAGCTGCATGAGCTGCTTGTAAATTTTGGAGATTAATCCTTTGTCAGTTGTTTCATTTGCAAATATTTCCTCCCATTCTGAGGGTTGTCTTTTGGTCTTGTTTATGGTTTCCTTTGCTGTGCAAAAGCTTTGAAGTTTCATTAGGTCCCATTTGTTTCTTTTTGTTTTTATTTCCATTTCTCTAGGAGGTGGGTCAAAAAGGCTCTTGCTGTGATTTATGTCATAGAGTGTTCTGCCTATGTTTTCCTCTAAGAGTTTGATAGTTTCTGGCCTTACATTTAGGTCTTTAATCCATTTGGAGCTTATTTTTGTGTATGGTGTTAGGGAGTGATCTAATCTCATACTTTTACATGTACCTGACCAGTTTTCCCAGCACCACTTATTGAAGAGGCTGTCCTTTCTCCACTGTACATTCCTGCCTCCTTTATCAAAGATAAGGTGACCATATGTGCATGGGTTTATCTCTGGGCTTTCTATCCTGTTCCATTGATCTATATTTCTGTTTTTGTGCCAGTACCATACTGTCTTGATTACTGTAGCTTTGTAGTATAGTCTGAATTCAGGGAGCCTGATTCCTCCAGCTCCGTTTTTCATTCTCAAGATTGCTTTGGTTATTTGGGATCTTTTGTGTTTCCATACAAATTGTGAAATTTTTTGTTCCAGTTCTGTGAAAAATGCCAGTGGTAGTTTGATAGGTATTGCATTGAATCTGTAGATTGCTTTGGGTACTAGAGTCATTTTCACAATGTTGATTCTTCGTATCCAACAACATGGTATAACTCTCCATCTATTTGTATCATCCTTAATTTCTTTCATCAGTGTCTTATAATTTTCTGCATACAGGTCTCTTGTCTCCTTAGGTAGGTTTATTCCTAGATATTTTATTCTTTTTGTTGCAATGGGAAATGGGAGTGTTTTCTTGATTTCACTTTCAGATTTTTCATCATTAGTGTATAGGAATGCCAGAGATTTATGTGCATTAATTTTGTATCCTGCTACTTTACCAAATTCATTGATTAGCTCTAGTAGTTTTCTGGTAGCATCTTTAGGATTCTTCATGTATAGTGTCATGTCATCTGCAAACAGTGACAGCTTTACTTCTTCTTTTCCGATTTGGATTCCTTTTATTTCCTTTTCTTCTTTCATTGCTGTGGCTAAAACTTCCGAAACTACGTTGAATAAGAGTGGTGAGAGTGGGCAACCTTGTCTTGTTCCTAATCTCAGTGGAAATGGTTTCAGTTTTTCACCATTGAGGATGATGTTGGCTGTGGGTTTGTCATATATGGCCTTTATTATGTTGAGGAAAGTTCCCTCTATGCCTATTTTCTGGAGGTTTTTTAATCATAAATGGGTGTTGAATTTTGTTGAAAGCTTTCTCTGCATCTATTGAGATGACCATATGGTTTTTCTCCTTCAATTTGTTAATATGGTGTATCACATTGATTGATTTGCGTATATTGAAGAATCCTTGCATTCCTGGAATAAACCCCACTTGATCATGGTATATGATCCTTTTAATGTGCTGTTGGATTCTGTTTGCTAATACTTTGTTGAGGATTTTTGCATCTGCGTTCATCAGTGTTATTGGCCTGTAGTTTTCTTTCTTTGTGACATCCTTGTCTGGTTTTGGTATCAGGGTGATGGTGGCCTCATAGAATGAGTTTGGGAGTGTTCCTCCCTCTGCTATATTTTGGAAGAGTTTGAGAAGGATAGGTGTTAGCTCTTCTCTAAGTGTTTGATAGAATTCGCCTGTGAAGCCATCTGGTCCTGGGCTTTTGTTTGCTGGAAGATTTTTAATCACAGTTTCAATTTCAGTGCTTGTGATTGGTCTGTTCATATTTTCTGTTTCTTCCTGATTCAGTCTTGGCAGGTTGTGCTTTTCTAAGAAGTTGTCCATTTCTTCCAGGTTGTCCATTTTATTGGCATAGAGTTGCTTGTAGTAATGTCTCATGATCTTTTGTATTTCTGCAGTGTCAGTTGTTACTTCTCCTTTTTCATTTCTAATTCTATTGATTTGAGTCTTCTCCCTTTTTTCTTTTTTTTTTTTTTTTTTTTGTGGTACGCGGGCCTCTTTCTGCTGTGGCCTCTCCCGTTGTGGAGCACAGGCTCTGGATGCACAGGCTCAGCGGCCACGGCTCACGGGCCCAGCCACTCCGCGGCATGTGGGATCATCCCGGACCGGGGCATGAACCTGTGTCCCCTGCATCAGCAGGCGGACTCTCAACCACTGCGCCACCAGGGAAGCCCCCAGTCTGTGTCTTTTGGTGGGAGCATTTAATCCATTTACATTTAAGGTAATTATCGATATGTATGTTCCTATTCCCATTTTCTTAATTGTTTTGGGTTTGTTATTATAGGTCTTTTCCTTCTCTTGTCTTACTTGCCTAGAGAAGATCCTTTAACATTTGTTGTAAAGCTGGTTTGGTGGTGCTGAACCCTCTCAGCTTTTGCTTGTCTGTAAAGATTTTAATTTCTCCATCAAATCTGAATGAGATCCTTGCTGGGTAGAGTAATCTTGGTTGTAGGTTTTTCTCCTTCATCACTTTAAATATGTCCTGCCAGTCCCTTCTGGCTTGCAGAGTTTCTGCTGAAAGATCAGCTGTTAACCTTATGGGGATTCCCTTGTGTGTTATTTGTTGTTTTTCCCTTGCTGCTTTTAATATGTTTTCTTTGTATTTAATTTTTGTCAGTTTGATTAATATGTGTCTTGGCCTGTTTCTCCTTGGATTTATCCTGTATGGGACTTTCTGTGCTTCCTGGACTTGATTAACTATTTCCTTTCCCGTATTAAGGAAGTTTTCAACTATAATCTCTTCAAATATTTTCTCAGTCCTTTTCTTTTTCTCTTCTTCTTCTGGAACCCGTATAATTTGAATGTTGGTGCGTTTAATGTTGTCCCAGAGGTCTCTGAGACTGTCCTCAGTTCTTTTCATTCTTTTTTCTTTATTCTGCTCTGCAGTAGTTATTTCCACTATTTTATCTTCCAGGTCACTTATCCGTTCTTCTGCCTCAGTTATTCTGCTATTGATCCCTTCTAGAGTATTTTTAATTTCATTGATTGTGTTGTTCATCGTTGCTTGTTTCATCTTTAGTTCTTCTAGGTCCTTGTTAAATGTTTCTTGTATTTGGCTATTCTATTTCCAAGATTTTGGATCATCTTTACTATCATTATTCTGAATTCTTTTTCAGGTAGACTGCCTATTTCCTCTTCATTTGTTAGGTCTGGTGGGTTTTTATCTTGCTCCTTCACCTGCTGTGTGTTTTTCTGTCTTCTCATTTTGCTTATCTTACTGTGTTTGGGGTCTCCTTTTTGCAGGCTGCAGGTTTGTAGTTCCCATTGTTTTGGTGTCTGTCCCCAGTGGCTAAGGTTGGTTCAGTGGGTTGTGTAGGCTTCCTGGTGGAGGGGACTAGTGCCTGTGTTCTGGTGGATGAGGCTGGATCTTGTCTTTCTGGTGGGTAGGTCTATGTCTGGTGGTGTGTTTTGGGGTGTCTGTGGCCTTATTATGATTTTAGGCAGCCTCTCTGCTAATGGGTGGGGTTGTGTTTCTGTCTTGCTAGTTGTTTGGCATAGGGTGTCCAGCACTGTAGCTTGCTGGTCGTGGAGTGAAGCTGGGTGTTGGTGTTGAGATGGAGACCTCTGGGAGATTTTCGCCGTTTGATATTATGTGGAGCTGGGAGGTCTCTTGTGGACCAGTGTCCTGAAGTTGGTTCTCCCACCTCAGAGGCACAGCACTGACTCCTGGCTGCAGCACCAAGAGCCTTTCATCCACATGGCTCAGAATAAAAGGGAGAAAAAGTAGAAAGAAAGAAAGAAAGGAAGAGGGTATAAGAAAATAAAATAAAGTAAGGTAAAATAAAATAAAGTTATTAAAAAATAATTATTAAGAAAAAAAATTTTTTTAATGTAAAAAACCCACAAAAACGGATGGATAGAACCGTAGGACAAGTGGTGAAAGCAAAGCTATACAAAATCTCACACAGAAGCATAGACACTCACAAAAAGAGGAAAAGCGGAAAAAATAATACATCTTGTTCTCAAAGTCCACCTCCTCAACTTAGGATGATTCATTGTCTATTCAGGTATTCCACAGGTGCAGGGCACATCAAGTTGATTGTGGAGCTTTAATCTGCTGCTTCTGAGGCTTCTGGGAGAGATTTCCCTTTCTCTTTGTTCGCACAGCTCCGAGGTTTCAGCTTTGGATTTGGCCCCGCCTCTGCGTGTAGGTCACTGGAGGGCGTCTGTTCTTCGCTCAGACAGGATGGGGTTAAAGGAGACGCTGGTTCGGGGGCTCCGGCTCACTCAGGCCTGGGGGAGGGAGGGGCACGGATGCGGGGCGAGCCTGCGGCGGCAGAGGCTGGCATGACCAGCCTGAGGCGTGGTGCGTTCTCCCGGGGAAGTTGTCCCTGGATCCCGGGACCCTGGCAGTGGCGGGCTGTACAGGCTCCCTGGAAGGGAGGTGTGGAGAGTGACCTGTGCTCGCACACAGGCTTCTTGTTGGCGGCAGCAGCAGCCTTAGCGTCTCATGCCTGTCTGTGGGGTCTGCGCTTTTAGCCGCGGCTTGTGCCCGTCTCTGGAGCTCCTTTAAGCAGCGCTCTTAATCCCCTCTCCTCGCGCACCAGGAAACAAAGAGGGAAGAAAAAGTCTCTTGCCTCTTCGGCAGCTCCAGACTTTTCCTGGACTCCCTCCTGGCTAGCCGTGGTGCACTAACCCCTGCAGGCTGTGTTCACGCCGCCAGTCCTCTCCCTGCGCTCTGACCGAAGCCCGAGCCTCAGCTCCCAGCCCTGCCTGTCCTGGCGGGTGAGCAGACAAGCCTCTCGGTCTGGTGAGTGCTGGTCGGCACCGATCCTCTGTGCGGAAATCTCTCTGCTTTGCCCTCCACACCCCTGTGGCTGCGCTCTCCTCCGTGGCTCCGAAGCTCCCCTCCTCCGCCACCCGCAGTCTCCGCCCGCGAAGGGGCTTCTAGTGTGTGGAAACCTTTCCCGCTTCACGGCTCCCTCCCACTGGTGCAGGTCCCGTCCCTATTCTTTATTTTATTTATTTTTGCTGTGTTGAGTCTTTGTTTCTGTGCGAGGGCTTTCTCTAGTTGCGGCAAGCAGGGGCCACTCTTCATCACCGTGCGCGGGCCTCTCACTGTCACGGCCTCTCTTGTTGCGGAGCACAGGCTTCAGACGCGCAAGCTCAGTAGTTGTGGCTCACGGGCCTAGTTGCTCCACGGCATGTGGGATCCTCCCAGACCAGGGCTCGAACCCGTGTCCCCTGCGTTAGCAGGCAGACTCTCAACCACTGCGCCACCAGGCAAGCCCCCATCCCTATTCTTTTGTCTGTGTTTATTCTTTTTCTTTTGCCCTACCCAGGTACGTGGGGAGTTTCTTGCCTTTTGGGAGGTCTGAGGTCTTCTGCCAGCATTCAGTAGGTGTTCTGTAGGAGTTGTTCCACGTGTAGATGTATTTCTGGTGTATCTGTGGGGAGGAAGGTGATCTCCGCGTCTTACTCTTCCGCCATCTTCTTCGCCAAGCCCATTTTATTCTTGAATATTTTTAACTGAGTCCAGTAGAATGAAGGAAACTTCAAAAGGTTATGTTTCTAACTTTTAAAAAATGGTTTTTTAATTATGAAAGTAAATATTTTCATATATAGCTACTATATGTACATAGATGTATAGGTAATAAATATATACGCATGGTTCTAAAATTCAGAAGACACAGAAATGGGAATTCCCTGGCGGTCCAGTGGTTAGGACTTGGCGCTTTCACTGCCAAGGGTCCGGGTCCTATCCCTGGTTGGGGAACTAAGATCCCGCTAGCCGTGCTGCTCGGCCAGAAAAGAAAAAAAAAAGACACATAAATGTATGGAGTAAAAAGTAAATATCCTTCTGTTTCCTATTCCCTGGGTATTCGGCCGTCTTCCCCATGGACCACTGCTCTCACTGGTGTGAGGGTCCTGACAGGGATTCCATGCAGATAAAAGTGTGCGTGATGCGTGTACATATGTGTATGTGATTATATTCTTTGTATATGTACAAAGGTACATAAGTGTGTAGAATGAAAAGTAGATATCCTCATACATAACGTTTTTGCACAGTGTCTCTGAAGATAAATTTCTACAAGTGAAATTGCAAGGTTTAAAGGGTCTGGGCACTGTTAATTTTGAGTTTTAGTGTCAAATTCCCTCTAAGATTGTACTCATTTATCCTCCAGTCAGCAAGCAGTGCACAGTAGTGCTGCTTTCACCACACCCTCTCTGTTGAACTTTTTTTTTTTTCGGTACGCGGGCCTCTCACTGTTGCGGCCTCTCTGGTTGCGGAGCACAGGCTCCGGACGCACAGGCCCAGCGGCCATGGCTCATGGGCCCAGCTGCTCCACGGCATGTGGGATCTTCCTGGACCGGGACACGAACCCGTGTCCCCTGCATCAGCAGGCGGACTCTCAACCACTGCGCCACCAGGGAAGCCCTCTGTTGAACTTTTTGATCTTTTACAATCTGATAGCTGAAAAATACTACCTCACTATAGTTTTAATTTGTGCTGTCGGCCCTCTGTGTCAGTGAGTTCCGAAGTGGAACGGCCTTGAGCATTGGAGGACCTTGGTGTCTGGTCCCGGAACTTAATAAAACATGGACGGTACAGATTGACATAGGATTTGTGCCTTTACAACCCATTCTAGCTCATACTCTTTTTTGCAATGACATACACTGTTGGTTCATGTACCTACCATGTATATATGAGGCTGTGGAAAGCAGAGGCTTCTTATTTATCTATTTTTAATTTTGACTGAGCAAAAGAAGAAAGAGTAGCTCTTCAGCCCTTCCTCAGAGGAAGTATTAGTTCATGGAGGGACTTTCAGTCAGCATTTGTTTTGTTGTAACATGTACAGTGTTACCCTTGAGAAAGGGGCCCTGGGGTTGTGCGTTATCAGGAGGACGTGTTTCTCCTTCTCCTCCCCAGAGAACGTGATGTGTATCTTATCTGAAGAGGTCTGGGTAAGGGAGCATTCTGATCAGCCATTTAGGCTGACCTGTGTCACAGTCTTTCAGAAACAAAGGTGTCCTTTTTCTCCCTGACAGGCAGCCTTGTTTGCAGTCCACAAACTTTTTGAAGAGGAGTATGCTCCCCGGCCTATCCTTGTAAGTTCTCAAATATTTGCATGATGAATTTTGGTTTTTATTAATACTGTCATTTTGAGGGTGGGGTTTTTGTTTTCCTGCCATGGAACTATTGATAGTATCTTTTAGGAACCAGCTTCTTGCTTGGTTCACCTCCCTTCTTCCACCACCTCTAGATCAATAGCAGTCTTATTCGTGGAAATGTACAGAAAATGAATGTAGCAGTGGTTTGTGGAAGGCAGGCTATTCCAAAGAAGCCTGGCTGAACTTGTCCCCCAAAGCCAAAGGCTCACTCTCATTAGGGCCCGAGGGCAGATGGACTGGTGTGCTGACCGTGAAGCATCCAACACCAGAGACAGCATGCTGCCAATTCATTAATGCAACAGGCAGGCCCCCATTGCTTGGTGAGAATAGAATAGAGTCAAACAGGGGTGTTAGATGAATCAGATGTTGAACAGCAGGAGACCAGGATAACCTGAGGTATCTGTTGGGAAGTCTTCTCCAGTGGGACTGGAGGTGTGAATCCTAAAGCTTTTCTGGACACTGCTTTTGTCTCCGTGACTTTCCCTTTTCTCTGTTTCTGTGGCTTTCCAACCCCTCCCCTGGGCACTTTGCATTCATCTGTTTTGACCGTTAAAGAAAACAGTGCTGCTTTGGAGTTTGAGTGCCACAGTTCTCTTCCTTGTAAAAAAACAAAGAAAGTCAGCTTACTCATTTTATTTTGTTTCTGTGACTGTATTCATAACTCAAGTCTATGCTGTTGACAGTTTACTTTGTTCAATTCAGATTTCAGGGACAATTGTTGATAAAAGTGGGCGGACTCTCTCTGGCCAGACCGGGGAGGCGTTTGTCATCAGCGTGTCTCATGCAGACCCACTCTGGTGAGTGATCATTCTTTTCTGACTCCATTCCTTTTGGGGGGATCTCTTCTGATGACTACAGACTGTGACCCAGGAGGGGATTGCTTCTCTATATTTCTATGGTGCCACTTGTATGAGATGTTGTCTTTCCTTGAAGTACATTCTGACTGCCCTGAGGACGTCAGAAGACACTGCCTAAATGGGTCGATTTGAGGGAGGGGGAGAGTTCTCATAGGCCCTGGGCCCACCAGAAAGTTGCCTTTTTGTCTGTAAGTGTCCCCCTTATAGTTTAAGACTGGCTTGGCCTGCTAACAACACTTTAAATCTATTATCAGCACTTAAAAATTTTGCAAGGTGTTTTCACTCCCTGCTTGTGGAACAACCAGAAGTAGTGTAGTTTGAAATAAGGTGGGAATTCTAAAGCTCAGATATTTATCTTTAAAATTAACGTGGCTTTTACATTCTAGTTTGTAACATCTCTCTATTTTTCTGATCAAAATGGTTTAACTTCTGTACCATGAGTGAGATGGAAGCTCCAAGAGTCTATACAGTTTCCTCCTGTGCCTTTTCCGTGCACGTTCTACTCCTGCCTGGAGGCCATGCCTGCCCTGCAGGGTCACCCCGCCACGTGAGCCTTTCAGACCCATCTCTAGGGTCCTCTCTGGGGACCCTTCCCTCTCTTACCAGCCCAGGTCGATGTTCTTCTCAGAGCACTCTATTCACTGTTATTATAGCCTTGGCCATAAAAATAAGAGTCATAGATATTTATTGAGAGTTTGCTGTGTGCCAGGCTTGGTTCTAAGTGCTTTATGAGAGTTCTTTCTTTTAATTTTGGCAATAACACCTTGAGGTAGCTTCTCCTCTTCAGATCTTTTGCTTATTGTTTTAGTTGGGTGGTTTTCTTATTGTTGAGTTTGAAAAATTAAAGAAAATATTTTGGATACTGCATATGTGTTTTGCAAATATTTGTTCCTAGTCCGTGGCTTGTCTTCTCATGCTCCTAACCATATCTTTTGCGGAGCAGAAGTTTGTAATTTTAGTGAAGTCCAGCTTATCATTTTTTTTTCTTTCTTTCTTTCATGGATCCTACTTCTGGTGTTGTATCTAAAAACTCATCTCCAAACCCATGGACACCTAGATTTTTCTTCTATGTAATTGTTATATATATATTTATATCTTTAATAGTTTTGCAACTTGCAATTAGGTCTGTGATCCATTTTGCGTTAATTTTTATGAAAGATGTAAGATCTTTGTCTAGATTAATGTATTCAGATGTGAATGTCCAGTTGTTCCAGTACTGTTTGTTGAAAATACAATCCTTTCTCCATTGGATTGCCTTTGCTCGTTTGTCAAAGATTAGTTGACTGTATTTGTGTGATTCTGTTCCTGGACTCTGTTCAGCACCATTGATCTGTTTGTCTGTGCTCTCTCATCAATACCAGAGATTCCTTTAGCTTTCCAGTGAGTGTTGAAGTCAAGTAGTACCAGTGCTTTGACTTTATTCTTCTACAGTAGCTAATTGTATTAGCTATTCTGGGTTGTTTGCTTCATCATGTAAACTTTAGAATCAGTTTGTTGATATCCACAAAATAACTTGCTGGAATTTTTACTGGCATTTTGTAAATGTATATAAAATTGGGAAGAATCGACATCTTAACTATATTAATTCTTCCTGTTGATGAACATCGGATAGATCTCCATTTATTTAGATCTGCCTTGATTTCTTTCATCAGAGTTTTGTAGTTATACACAAGTATTTCATTTATTTTGGTGCCATTGTAAATAATGTGTTTCGTATTTCAAATTTCAGTTGCTCATTGCTGGTATATAGGTCAACAGTTGACTTTTGTATATGAAGCTTGTGCTTTACAACCTTGGTTCTAAGAATTTTTTAGATGATTCTTTAGAACAGATAGTCTTATCTGTGAACAAAGACAAATTTATTTCTTCCTTTCCAATCTGTATACCTTTTATTTTCCATCTTCTCTTATTGCCTCACCTAGGACTCCCAGCATGATGTTTAGCAAGAGGTGAAAGCGGGCATCCTTGTCTTGTTCCCGATCTTGCGGGGAAAGCATCTAGTTCTGTATCATTAAGTATGATGTTAGCTACAGGTTTTTTATAGACCTTCTTTATCAAGCGGAGGAAGTTCCCCTCTATTCCTAGTTTACTAAGAGTTTTTATCAGGAATGGGAGTTGGGTATTTGTTAAATAAACTTTTTATTTTGGAATAATTTCAGATTTACATAAAAGTTGCAAAGATAGTACAGAGAATTCCCATATGCTCTTCATCTAGTTTTTTCTAATGAGACATCTTGCATTAACTGTGGTACTTTCGCCAAAACTAAAAGTATATTACTATTAACTAACTCCTGACTTTATTCTGGTTTCAGGTTTTTCCACTAATGTCCTTTCTCTGTTTCAGGATCTAATCTAGTATATCACATTGCACTTAGAAATCATAGTCAAAGAAAAAAAGTAAAATGTGAAAAAATAAAAGATGACATAGTCCTGTCACTTCATAGTTAATTCTTGAATTCCTGAAGACTTCAGCAGCTCCCACTGAGTGTGATTTTGGAGGGGTTTTAGCAGCTCTGCTTTGATCTATTTTATTTTAGTCTGCAGTAAGTTTCATTTGCAAAACAGAGAGCCCCTTGGTTACAAATTAATTTATAAGAGGACAAATTCTAAGTGCAAGGTCACGTTGCAATTCAGTTGGAGCAAGGACTGAGTCTTGGTCTTCAAGACCCCCGAAGTGGCTTCCATGTGCCATTAATGTTCCTTCTACCTCCAAGATTTTCCTTTTTCTTTCTCTTAAGTATTGCTTTCCAGTGTTTATTAGCAGTGGTAGTTCGCAGACATTTCTGTTTCATGGTATACCATTAACTAAATGGTGAACTTATTTAAGGAGTCACATCCGTAGGCAGCATCTAATGTTGGAGACATGGGCAGAAATATTTAGTGTTGCAGGGAACTTCAGTGAGGTGGCTTTGACTGGAGCTGAATAAACTTGCTTTGAATCAGGAGACTTACTATCTGCTTGGTTTTAAATGTACTCCTTTCTTTATCATAACTTTTTATATGTATAAATATTTAGAATAGAAGAGGGTACTTCTAATACCTTCTTTTTGTTTTTCCAGCATTGGATTAAATTGTGCTCTGGGTGCAGCTGAAATGAGACCTTTTATTGAAACAATTGGAAAATGTACAACAGCCTATGTCCTCTGTTATCCCAACGCAGGTGTGTGTTTCAAGGGAGTCACACATAGGAAATGCAAATACACAAGACCTGGGTAGATAGGATAACAGATCTGGATTAAAAGAGTTTGTTTTGCAGGTCTTGGTATATAGTTGACTTTCAATAGGAATTTTCTAAATGAAGAGTATTCGGGTCTAGACCACTGTTTCCCTCTAGACTTGAAGGAACAGTTTGGCTCAGCCTGAAAGGGTCAGAAATGGACAGAACTTGGGGGCATGAAGCCTAGTCATAACTTATCTGGCCAGAGCCTTGGAATTGGTGACAGTCCTTGCCATGTGGGCGTGGCCAAAGAGATGAGTGCAAAGAACGTGAGAGAGAGAGCCCTCTTCTTTGTTCCACTGTATCGACAAAAGAGCCTGTTACTTTTCTCCTTTTTAAAAGTTAGGACTTAATGGTATATAAAAATTCCTAAGATAAATGTAGACAATTTTCAGACTATCCATTTAATATTGGTAATCCATTCTGGGTTAACCAGATTTCCTGGTGAATGTTTCTGAGCACCAGTTAACTACTTGGGGCTAAAAATCATTTTCCAGCCTTCTTTCTCCAAATATGTACATTTTAATGTGCAGTAAATTTTATTTCCCACCAGGAGTAAGATAACTGGAAGGGGATAATAAATAAAACAGGAAATTGCAAAATTAGATGCTAAAGTCTTACTTGGGAAAACTTACTTGAGAGGAGATGGGTTGTGTTTTGCTTGTTTTTAATTGCATGTCTGGTGCTCATTAGTTCAAAGCATGTGTGGTACTCTTCCAACCCCTACCCCTAGGCGTCTAGGAGACAAGAATGAATTTCCTATACAGAAAAGGGAGGGATAGGGGTAGGGAAATTCTGTCTCATGTAGCAGTGATGCTTTTCTTTCAAATAGAAAAGAAATAATGGATGTTTATTTTCCTCTGTGATTTTATTGTTGTTGTCTGGTATGGAGTCTCTGTACTTATTATGTTTAATGTTAAGAATTCTTACTTGTTTTTGCAAGTAATCACGATTTAATTATAAATATTTTTGTAACATTTTAACCTAAAGCCTTTAAAAATACTATGTCATTTGTTAAAGTAATTTCCAGTAATGGCTGAAATATACTTTCTTAGGTCTTCCCAATACCTTCGGTGAATATGATGAAACTCCGCACGTAATGGCCATGCACTTAAAGGTCAAGAATCCTCTTTCACTTCGTTTTTAAGAGATAGAGAAATGGAATTTTTGATTTAGAATATCTAGAAGTAGACTTTTCCCCTAAAGAAATCCCAGTGTATATATAAAAAATAAAAGCTTAAGATGAATTAAAATGATGGAGGCAGAGGGAGGGGCTCACTGTCAGCATCCTTCTCCACAGTGGGTACTAGTGGCTATTGGGAAATTCTCAGAGAGGTCCAGCCCAAACTAACTGAAACTCGGCTCTCCTCTGCAGCCCTCCCAGGTGGTCCCCTCCACCCCGCAGACTGCTGGGTGGAGTCTATGTCTCCTAGCTCCCCACTGTCACCTCCCCCATTCTCCTTCTCTCACATACACCTCCCATCTTTGAATCCCAGGTCACGAAACCATACTACCCATGACCCCTCCTTATCACTAACCCCTGGATCTCTTTTCCCTCATTCCTTGAATTTTTAGCTTCTGGCTTACCGACATTCTCTCCTAAACTATTTCTCATTTAATTCTTATGTTTTCAGTACCTTATGTAGATGCTCTTTTCAATACTCTGACTTCTCACTTCCTTGACTTCCTCTCTCTCGGTTATCTTGTGCTTCTTTCAAACCAGCTGTGGTTAAACTCCAGCTTTCAAACCAACTGTGGTTGAACTCCAGACCTGCACTGTGCAATATATGTAGCCACATGTGTAGCCTCTACCACATGTGGTCGTTGGAGCACTTGAAATGTGGCTGTTGTGACTGAGGAACTGAATTTTTAATTCTTTAAACATTTGAATTTAAATTTAAAAACTGAATACGTATTATTGGAAAATGAATTACTTAGCTCCCATTCATTCTGCTCAGCATATGGGTAAAAAAAAACTTTATCGTGATCAGATAGGCAAATATCTCATTGCATTTCATAGTATCTGAACTGGTCTCTGCTTTTAACCTTATGTCTAAGGCTTATCAAAGCTTGATATCTAGAGTTAAGTATGTTTAGCTCTCTTTTAAATGGAAAATTAGTTATTCAGGAAATGCAGATTTTCTGCTGAATTGGTAGTGGTGAGCTTAGAATTCAGATGAACTCTCTGAAACTTTTTCTTTTCCTAAATGCAGGATTTTGCTATGGACGGCTTGGTCAATATAGTTGGCGGGTGCTGTGGTACGACACCAGATCATATCAGGTGATAATCCTTTCTAAGTATTTTACCTTTTGTTATGGGATGAATTGTGTCCCCAAAATTCATAGGTTGAAGCCCTAATCCCCAATTCCTCTGAATGTACCTGTATTTAGAGGTAGGGCCTTTAAGGAGGTAATTAAGGTAAAATGAGGTCATATGAATGGATCCTGATCCAATGTGACTGGTGAGGACACAGGCACACACAGGAAGGGGCCATGTGAAGACCCAGGGAGAAGATAGCCAGCTACAAACCAAAGAGAGGTCTAAGAGGAAACCGGTCCTACTGACACCTTGACCTGAGACTTCTAGCCTCCAGAACTTGAAGAAATAAATTTTGCTGTTTAAACTACCTAGTCTGTGGTATTTCGTTATGGCAGCCCTAGCAAACTAAGATACTTTATATTATGAAAAATTCCAAAAATTAAAGTAGAAAAATAATAAAATGAACCCCCATGCACCTATTGCATAGTTTCCATAATTTTCAGCATTTTGCTATTCTTATTTATTCTCCAACTTTTTTTTCCCTTAGACTATTGTAAAGCAAATCCTACATATCTTTTTTTTTAAATTAATTTTTGTTGGAGTATAGTTGCTTTACAATGTTGTGTTAGTTTCTGCTGTACAGCAAAGTAGATCAGCTATACGTATACATATATCCCCTCTTTTTTGGATTTCTTTCCCATTTAGGTCACCACTGAGCATTGAGTAGAGTTCCCTGTGCTGTATAATATGTTCACATCAGTTATCTATTTTATACATAGTATCAATAGTGCATATATGTAAATCCCAATCTCCCAATTCATCCCACCTCCCCTTCCCCCTTGGTATCCGTACGTTTGTTCTCTATGTTTGTGTCTCTATTTCTGCTTTGCAAATAAGATCATCTGTACCATTTTTCTAAATTCCACATATATGCATTAATATACGATATTTGTTTTTCTCTTTCTGACTTACTTCACTCTGTATGACAGTCCCTTGGTCCATCCGTGTCTCTGCAAGTGACCCAATTTCGTTTCTTTTTATGGCTGAGTAATATTCCATTGTATATATGTACCACATCTTCTTTGTCCATTCTTCTGTTGTTGGACATTTAGTTGCTTCTATGTCCTGACTATTGTAAATAGAGCTGCAATGAACATTGTGGTACATGACTCTTTTTGAATTATGGTTTTCTCAGGGTATATGCCTAGTAGTGGGATTGCTGGGTTTTGTGGTAATTCCATTTTTAGTTTTTTAAGGAGCTTCTGTACTTTTTTCCATAGTGGCTGTATGAATTTACATTCCCACCAACAGTGTAAGAGAGTCCCCTTTTCTCCACACCCTCTCCAGCATTTGTTGTTTGTAGATTTTTTGATGATGGCCATTCTGACTGGTGTGAGGTGATACCTCATTGTAGTTTTGAAGCAAATCTTAGATATCTTAACACTCTACCTTTAAATACCTGAATAATATTCCAGTGCTCAAAGAGGGACAGCCGATATTTCTTGTGGGCATATACCTGCCTCCACTAGATTCTCTCATGAAAGGAAGAGACAATAAGCAACAAGCACCTTGAGGTCAACAGGAGCGTCTTCACCTCGCCTGACACAGTCACTGCTTAACCCACGTTGTAGAGTGAGGGCATGAAGGAAGAGGGTGGGAGACAAGGGCATGGCGAAGGGTGTGTTTAAGTCCCTGCAGTTTCGTGGTTTATAAGAAGATTGGAAAGATTGGAATTGAGTGGAATAAAACACAGTTGAGGACTGTTTGTATTTGTTTTTTTCCCCTAGAGTGACTGATGATCATATTTTGAGCCAGTCTGCTTGCATGCCTATAATACGTTCACTGTACTGAACTGCCTAATGTTGCACTGAGTTTGTTGACTTCCATGATAGACTCTGTGAAGAGTCTCTATAATTTTTTAAACATAACATCTTTTAAATAATATCTGAAAGTTATCAGTAGTTGAGGATAGCTTATCTTTGGATCTCTTTTTGTTTTTAAGATTATCTCCTTCTTTATAAAAAGAGTTGTGTTTTTTGTTTCTTAACATTTTTATTGGAATATAATTGCTTTACAATGGTATGTTAGTTTCTGCTTTGTAACAAAGTGAATCAGTTATATATATATATACATATGTTCCCATATCTCTTCCCTCTTGCATCTCCCTCCCTCCCACCTTCCCTATCCCACCCCTCTAGGTGGTCACAAAGCACCGAGCTGATCTCCCTGTGCTATGCGGCTGCTTCCTACTATCTATTTTACATTTGGTAGTGTATATATATCCATACCACTCTCTCACTTTGTCACAGCTTACCCATGCCACTCTCTCACTTTGCCACAGCTTACCCTTCCCTCTCCCCATATCCTCAAGTCCATTCTCTAGTAGGTCTGTGTCTTTATTCCCATCTTACCCCTAGGTTCTGTTTTTTTTTGCCGTACACGGGCCTCTCACTGCTGTGGCCTCCCCTGTTGTGGAGCACAGGCTCCGGACGCGCAGGCCTAGCAGCCATGACTCACGGGCCCAGCTGCTCTACAGCATGTGGGATCCTCCCGGACCGGGGCACGAACCCACATACCCTGCGTTGGCAGGCAGACTCTCAACCACTGCGCCACCAGGGAAGCTCTCTTAGATTCCATATATATGTGTTAAGCATACGGTATTTGTTTTTCTCTTTCTGACTTACTTCACTCTGTATGACAGACTCTAGGTCCATCCACCTCACTACAAATGCTCAACATCATTAATCATTAGAGAAATGCCAATCAAAACTACAATGAGGGGCTTCCCTGGTGGCGCAGTGGTTGAGAGTCCGCCTGCCAATGCAGGGGACACGGGTTCGTGCCCCGGTCCGGGAAGATCCCACATGCCGCGGAGCGGCTGGGCCCGTGAGCCATGGCCGCTGAGCCTGCGCGTCCGGAGCCTGTGCTCCACAACGGGAGAGGCCACAACAGTGAGAGGCCTGCGTACTGCAAAAAAAAAAAAAAAAAAAAACTACAATGAGATATCATCTCACACTGGTCAGAATGGCCATCATCAAAAAATCTACAAACAATAAATGCTGGAGAGGGTGTGGAGAAAAGGGAACACTCTTGCACTGTTGGTGGGAATGTAAATTGATACAGCCACTATGGAGAACAGTATGGAATTTCCTTAAAAAACTACAAATAGAACTACCATACGACCCAGCAATCCCACTACTGGGCATATACCCTGAGAAAACCATAATTCAAAAGGAGTCATGTACCAAAGTGTTCATTGCAGCTCTATTTACAATAGCCAGGACATGGAAGCAACCTAAGTGTCCATCATCGGATGAATGGATAAAGAAGATGTGGCACATATATACAATGGAATATTACTCAGCCATAAAAAGAAATGAAATTGAGATATTTGTAAAAGAGTTGTTTTAAAAATACCTGTGTGTGTGGGTTTGTGTGTGTATGTCTATCTATCTCTGCATATATATTTGCTGCTTTTACTTTGCCATTCACATACTCATTTGGGGGGCAGTAGAGTGAGCAGTTCATTCTGGTCCTGATAAATTTACTAGAGCAGCCAGATTTTTCCAGGCTGATCAGAAGACATATTTCATCGAAGCTGATAAGGTTCAAAAGAGTATGAATAATTAAAACAAATTTTTAGGAGTAATAATTTTGGAGTTTCAGTGATGTATTACTCTTTACCCTCCTTACCATATATGTGTGCTTGAAAAAAACAGACCTAAAGGATTTAATTTCCTTCACTCCTGGCACCTCCTCTCCTATTTGCTTTCCTTCTCAACAATGAAGCCTTTTTTTCTTTTAAATTACCATGTGGATTTGATTGAGTTAAGGATATCTTCAGGTTTGGGAAGGGGTGGAGGAGATTTGCTATTAGCGTTTGTGCAAACCATCACGTCTGTAGGTTCACATCTGTGAGCACAGAACTTGGTACAATCAGTGCACAGCAACGGGGCAGATACAGAAATGTTAAAGATTATAGATTCATTTTCTGCATTACTGAGAAAACTGAAAAGCACAGTTGCTGCTTTACATTTGGAACTAGGTATATAATTATATTAAACAGACTTAATTTCATAGGTGGAAATTAGTTTAATTGAATTTTGTTTGGATTTAATGGATATTGTGTTTTCTCTTTTAACTCAGAGAAATTGCTGAAGCTGTGAAAAACTGTAAGCCTAGAGTTCCACCTGCCACTGTTTTCGAAGGGCATATGCTACTGTCTGGTAAGTCATAAAGACATGATTTTTTATGATTTCAGAAATCGTTTGTAGATTGTTAGTATGTTTAGTCTACGTGGTAGTGATATTTCTGCCACAGAACTTGTTTATTAGGTCAAAGAAGTGTACATATTTTTCTTGGTACTTAAATGAATTCTAGTAAAGGACGCTTTGGTTTTTTTTAGGGGTGAGAGCGGGAAGATACTGACTTCAGGGAAATGTGAATGAAAGCACAGGTAGTGGCCTTGGTCAAACGTATTGTGCACTGCTTTGAAAATGTACATAGGCCACAGCCTAACACTTTTAATCATCAGATTTGCTGCTAGTTCCTAAAAAATCTAGCCCAGGCTTAAGGTTTTTTAATGATGGTAGCCTCTTCCTAGAAAATTTTGTTTGCTTCTATAACATTATTGTCATGCTCTTATGTTGGCTGTGTGTTTAGGTTTTACAAAGAGTTGTGATATTTATTATTCTGTTTTGTTCTCAACAGCCCTGTGGAGTAGGCAGCTTCCCTTTTTCAGAATGAGCTCTGATATTCACAAAAGGAACATTAGTAAAATAGATTATCATGCCAACTATTAGAAAAATAACTTTAAATTTTATATTTTTCCCATAATACTTTAATGATGTATTCTTAGATAGAATCTTTAAGCAAAAAAAAAAAAAAAGTGTATACAGATTTTGAGAGAACCTGCAAATAGCACACATATGGAATTATGCACCCTAATAATGGAGAATTTAATGTTTCTCTAAATTGATGTATTTTTGTTCCATATGCTCTCCTAAGAAAAATGAAATAAAATGACAGTGAAATAAAATAAAAGTGACAGCAAAAGTAATACCCACTTTTCTCACTCAGAACATATTGTATAGAATTACTCCCAGTGAGTGAAAATAAAGTTGGGTTAGAAATATGCCTCTTCAGGCTACCCTTTTTTTCCTTTTATACTCTAGAAGCCGGGATGAGATTAGAAGAAGAGGGATTTGTGATTTATGACACACTCCCTACCCTGAAAAAGTGTCTTTTGTCAGAGAAAGGTGTGGTAGGATAGTTTCTTTTAACCTTAGATCTTAAAGCTATTAATTGACTTCAGCCAAGGACTAAGTTGAAATTGTTAGCCTTTGCCAAAATGGAAACATGAAAGAACCATTTAGTTATGATTTTTAAAGAGTTTATGTGTAAGAATGAAAGAATTCTTTCTTCTGATTTGAATTTCATGTGCTATTTCTAAATTGTTTTAAAAATCACCTTCAATCAGATTTTAAAAGAATGGCACCAAATATACTCTTTTTAATTGTTCTTTTATAAATTGCAGACTTGAGAACAATGTAAATTTTTTTTAACTTATTTATTTATTTTTTAATTTTTGGCTGCACTGAGTCTTCGTTGCTGTGCGCAGGCTTTCTCTAGTTGCAGAGAGCGGGGACTACTTTTCGTTGCAGTGCAGTGGCTTCTCTTGCTGTGGAGCACGGGCTCTAGGTGCTCGGGCTTCAGTAGTTGCAGCACGTGGGCTCAGTAGTTGTGGCTCGCGGGCTCCAGAGCGCAGGCTCAGTAGTTGTGGTACACGGGCTTAATTGCTCTGCAGCATGTGGGATCTTCCTGGACCAGGGCTTGAACCCGTGTCCCTGCATTGGCAGGCGGATTCTTAACCACTGCACCACCAGGGAAGTCTGAGAACAATGCAGTTTTTGTGTCAGATACTTCACATTCATAATAGATCAGAAATGCTTTGTGTGAAATGCTTTTAGGGCAACACCACAGGTTCTCTTCGCCATTTAAATGCTGGCAGCCCTGCTTGTCTTCCCTGGGAACTCCAGGGTCTGACTAAGGGTCGACATGGAGGGGAGGGGCTGTGAGGATGTTACCAATGGGAAAGGAAATCACAGCCCAAACTGGAAAGTGATAGTCTTCCCAGTTGGGGAACAGAAGACCTGGAATAGTTTTGTAATTATCTATCTTCATTATTTTCCTCTCCCTCATGTCTGTTTCTTCCTCAACCAATGCTTTGGGAAAGGACTCAAAAGCCATTTCCTTTTATTAACAAGAACAGCTGGTGCTAATTTTATAAGCTTGATAACGCTTATCAATGTTACCTAGTCTCATTTTTACAGTAACATTGTGAGGCAGATACTTCTGCTGTCTCTATTTTATAAGCTTAGAGGCTCTGCGAGAAGTGCCCCAGAGTGTTCACTGAGTCGGCTGTGCAGGGCTCAGACCCTAAGGCTGGCTTCCCGAGAGCCTGCTTGTAACCATCTAGCAACACTTCTGCTCCTAATACTGTAGATACAATGAGTAGAACAAAACCAGTTAAAGGCCTTTTCCTGTAGCGGTACTGTATGCTGCATGTTGCTTTTTTACCTCAGTGTAATGTGTCCACATTAATTATCTGATATTTGCCCCTAAATCAGCCTGTAATAGTGGAGATGATATTGTTCCTTTGCAAATAAGGAAGGAGGAGCAGAAAGCCCAGGTGGCTTGCCCAGAGTCAGCCATCTCCCATGGCTCAGCCCAGGTCCTTCCTCGTGACCCTGTTCGGCCTTGCTGGTTACTCGTTCTTGGCTTCTGGATCAAAGAGACGAGATAAAGCTCTAAACACACTGTTGGTGGGATTAAGAACGCTTGCTCCATCAGGCTTCAAGCCGATGTCTGAATGGACAGCTGTAGAGCAGTCCTTAGATTCTAACTTCATGGTTTTTGCCCCAGGCTCTTGGTTACATAAGAATATGATGATAATTTTTCCTTGTTTCTCAGAGCTGATATGATTCAGCTCTTGAGAGAAATTTGCAATTTAAAACCCTGAAACATTTCTTCTTTTGAGAGTTCTGGTTATAAACATAGAGCCTTTTGTTGTGTTTAAATATCCCTAGGGGGGATGGCCATGACCCTTTTTACACGTTGGGTCTCCTTAGCTAGTCAGACGGGCTGTGGCACAGAAACTTCTTTTCTTTTTCATGAAAACATTTATTTTCTGTCTGTCTCATGTCGTTACATGCATTTTCAGAAAATTTTCAAAATGCTTCTCCTTTCAAGGTCTAGAGCCCTTCAGGATCGGCCCTCACACCAACTTTGTTAACATTGGAGAGCGCTGTAACGTTGCAGGATCCAGGAAGTTTGCTAAACTCATCATGACAGGAAATTATGAAGTGAGTATCTAAATAAGACCCTCGAGGCATCTGCCAGGCTTTTGGCTAAGACAGCACGCAAGTGAAACAGCTCTGCCTTTGATAATCATTAGCAGAGCTGCTGGGAAGTGTGAGAAGAACGGTAGAGTGTGTTTGTAGCTGGCAGAGCTGGTGGGAGGATGAGGCTTCGAAAAGTCATAGCTGCCCTTGTCAATATTTTTCAAAAAAATTCATCCAGGGTATGAAGTGGGATGAGATGGGAGGCACCCGGGTTCTAGCTATTTCTGTTAATAGTGAAATATATTTAAAAATTTGAGGATGCTCTTCATTTTGGCTTCTCACAATGACTAATGTGGTATTATTGATTCTGTTCACTGTAAAATAAGCTAAACACAAAGCTTGCAAGGTAGTTTCACCATAGGATTCTTAAACTCGGTCACTGTAAGGATGAGCAAAATTTAATCCAAATAGAGCCCACTCTAAAAATCTGGACAAATTTGTTTTTCTTATGCAAATACAAAGTTAAAAATGGAGGAACCTGATCTAAGCTTTAATGATAGCCTTTGCAACCTTTAGGAAATAGATCTTCCAGCAACCAGTATCGAAGCAGACTTAGTTCTAATCACAAAGAAAGGGCTCATTTATCGTCCTTTATGGACTTGTTAATGACTGCTTTGTGGCCTCCCTCAGCGATCTCCTCTGCAGGTAAGTCAGTAGGGCCTGGTTACCTGGTTCCTGACAGTTCCTGTCAGTCCTATTCTCTTCGTTCCCACTGCTGCCTAGCCAGCACGTGCTGCTGCTATGGTCCTCCCCAGTTTAGAAGCTTTCACGGGGTGGCTTTTTTTGCACATGGGATAAAACCCAAACTCCTTTAGACCATCATCCACATAGACACCAAACTGCCTTCCATCCTGATCTGTCATCTGAACATTCCAGGAGGCTTGCTTCTGCCTCCAGGCCTTTGTTCCTGTTTGTTCCCTTCTGCAGTCCTGATGACCCTTCATGGTTGTTTAGGGTTCTTCAGTTGGCAGTATTTCTATTTCTGTTTTGATTCTTAAGACCATTCTGTGGTGTCCCTTTCAGCTCTCAGATTTGATACATTTGCTACTGAGAGCAGACGGCATTTTAGGAAGAAGCAAACAAGTCGGAGTGATATCTGTCGTCTTATAAGGTCTTACTATTGAATATATGCCAGTCACTGTGCTGAGCACTATACAGCATTGCTCGTGTAATCTTTACAGACCTGTGAGATAGGTGATGCTATTATCCCCATTTTACAGGTGTGCAGCTGGAGGCTTGGGGGAGGTTAAACCACTCGCCTACTGTTTGAGAGCAAGTGGATGAGAGACCCTAAGTCCTCAAAGCCCGTACCCTTCACCGCTCTGCTGTCTTGGCTTGGAGGACACGGGAAGGAGGCCGGGAAGTAGGAGGGGGTTGGGGAGGAATGGCTCCTCACTGGATTCCAGTTCCCCATAGTTAGTGACCCCTCAAGGCTCTGTGGTTAAGGGAATGACCTGAGAGAAGGTCCATTCCTGTCTTTGTGCCCAACTTGTACACCTTTAAACAAATCACTTCATCTCTTGGAGCCTATTTGGGAAGGTTGGACCGCTGAGCTGTGATTCTGTGGCTCTCCTGATGTAGAAAGGTCAGGCATTGGCATCTATGTTGCGTGTCTTTTGACCCCTGGTCTAACCAGGTCGCTTGCTATCCCCCCTGTGCTCCCTCCAGTCCATTTCCCAGGGGCAGCTGAAGCTGCTCCCTCTCAGGTAGCTTTCTCCACTTCAGTCTTCAGAGATCTTGCCCTTCCTGGTGTTTAGGCAGGACATTTGACTCGTACGTTGTATGGCAGTGCCCGTAGCTTTTCATGTGCTACATCATATACCCCCAACTGGATGAAAGCCCTTCAAGAACAGGGACTGTGACTTATACTTCTTTTTATTCTTTATGGTATTAATATTTAACATACTGCTGATACCGAAAACATTTTTTGCTGAATTTTATTGTGATCCTTTTTCTCTGTGTAACCTCGTGTCATTATGAGTGGTCTTTCCTTGCGGCCTATGCCAAAGTGTCTCATGCCTATTCTTTTACAGTGATTGCTAAAACTTTCTATTTGGTTTCTTTGGCTAAGAAAAAATTAGGACAACATCAGAATCTACAGTTGATTTTACCCCTGCTTATTTTATGACACTATGAAGTGTGCAACAAAGACTTAAAGTCTCTGCTGTACCAGTCAGTTAGAAAGCCTTATTGAACATGTCTCTTTTGCCCAGTATTGTTCAAATGAGAGTGGGAGATACCTAAGACCTTTCTAGATTTCCAAACGCTTAAAATCTATTTCAGAGAATAAGCTAATACTCGTGAAATTGTGAGGAAATGATAATGTAATACACCATGTGATAATGTTTATAATAGTTACAGATGTTTAGAGGCAGCCGGTCATTGCGGAATAAGCAGTGTTTCCCAAAGTATGTTCTCTGGAACACTGATCCTACAAGATATTCCTTAAATGACCGTAAGTGGGAAATGCTGTGTATTGTATCTTGTCCTTGGAGATTTACGGTGTATAATAGTGTATCAAAGGATTTGAAAATCCTTTTAGCACAGAAGAAGTTTATTTATACGCATATTTCATGTAACTTCTATCAACAGCCTACAATGACTGCTTTGCATGTTTTGGCAAACACTGAAGAGTTAGATAAGTTTCGGACTGTTTCTCTAAGGACTTTTTTTGGAGGAGATGGGACTTGAGCTAGATCTTAAACAGTACAGGAAGGAAGGGGATTGTGTTGGAAGCAGAGGGAACATCATGTGTGACACAGAGGTGGAAACAGATTTGGCTGGGTGGAGGGTGCCGGGAGTGGGCGATGGGTGAGAAGTTCAGTTGCATGAGAAGATGGGGCAGGTCCCAGAGGGCCCGGAACACCAGGCTGAGGGCTAGAGGCTCTTTGCAGGAAGAGTCGAGCTTCGCTGGGTTCTGAGGAGCGACCCGCTGTGATGGAAGCGATGTGTAAGAAAGCTTCATCTGGGATGGTTGAGAGCAGGCTCAGGGTCGGGGGTGCTGGCCAGGCAGTCTAGTGGGATCTAAAAGGACTGCCTGCTGGGGGTGGTGAAGGACTACTTTTGTCAGCCTTCTCTTAGTCACCCTCTCCCAATGCTCGTTCCCCTTGAATTCCATCCTCAGGAAGCTCTGAGCGTTGCCAAAATGCAGGTGGAAATGGGAGCCCAGGTGTTGGATATCAACATGGATGATGGCATGTTGGATGGACCAAGTGCAATGACCAGATTCTGCAACTTCGTCGCTTCCGAGCCTGACATTGCCAAGGTCGTACAAAACCTTGATTCTTCAAGGGAGTTTACATGTGCTGCTCTGTCGCTCATTTAACTTTGTCACTTGTCCCTTTGTCTGTCATGTCATACACTGGTTTTCTGTTGTCCTGTGTTGAAAGCCCAGTGGTTTCTGATTGTCGGTTTTCTCACTTAATGGCAGCCTTTCGATAGAAACCAGACTTTAGAGAGAGATGTGACTTCAGGGTGGCTGTTTCCAAGGCTTCTGGAGTTGGTCACAAGGATTGACTGAGTTTCCTCTGATGTCTGGCTAGGCTAAGAACCAACTTTTCATGTCTCTGAAGGATATACTTACTTTTCTTACCGAATCATTAGTTCTCTTCCTATCACAGACAAGGGAACTCTGTTAATCCTTCCTTATTGCAGGAAGAAGAGACCTTTTTAGGTTTATCAGAGTGAGACAGACTTATAAAACAAGATTAAATCAAGGTGTTAATGTCAGCTTTTACATTTGTTCTTTAAAAGATGAAAGTTAATTTTTGTGTCCATCTTTTCAAAAATTTTAGATCGATTCTAAAAACTTTCAAAAGTCTCACTTCACTTCTCTACCATTGAATTTGTGATGAGGAGTGATTTTTGAAGCTGGTTTTATTGTTGGTGTTGTTGTTTGAAAGACACCTACTATAATGCTTTAAGAGATAGGGCTGTCATTTTTTTGTTAAGCTTCATTCAGCAAATGTGTAAGTTAGAAGTCTTGTGGTAAGCAGTGAATTACATTAACCTGTCCTTCATTTGTCTTCAACTCCTCACTTAAAAGCCTCCACGGTCCTCTGGGAGTAAATATTTTGCGAATTTAAGGTGCAGAGAAGCTAAATGACTTGTTCAAAGTCTGAATCAGATGGGGAGCCCGTGAAATGACTTCAGTGCTTTCATTCTGATGTTTAGCTGTGATCTTTTGAGTTATCAGTTTCTGGCCCATGCATGGGGTCTCTTGTGAGACTGGAATTACTCCAAGTCTTTTGGGATTTAGGAACAAGGGCTTAAAATCAGATTAAAATCGTATCTCTGTCACACTACTGTTATTTGTTTCTTGTTTCCCTAAGGAAGAAAGAGGGAATATCTGGGGGTCCTTGGAAGGGGATTTGTGGTAACTTACAGTCTTTCTGTGATCACCTTACCCTTCTGACCTCAGGTGCCCTTGTGCATCGACTCTTCCAATTTTGCTGTGATTGAAGCTGGGTTAAAGTGCTGCCAGGGGAAGTGCATTGTTAACAGCATCAGCCTGAAGGAGGGAGAGGATGACTTCTTGGAGAAGGCCAGAAAGATTAAAAAGTTTGGAGCTGCTGTGGTCGTTATGGCTTTTGATGAAGAAGGACAGGTGAGTGATTTCTTTTGCTCTCGCTCCATTGTGTTACACAGGCTTAGAGCAGTGGAAGAGAACTGAGTCCAGAACAAATGTGTTTACCATATATATCATATGTGTGTGTATACACACACACAGAGGCATACCTCAGAGATACCACGGATCCCGTTCCAGGCCACTTTAATAAAGCAGATATCACAATAAAGTGAGTCGCATGAATTTTTTGGTTTTCCAGTGCATGTAAAAATTATGTTTACACTATACTGTAGTCCATTAAGTGTGCAATAGCATTATGTTTAGGAAAACAATGTACATACCTTAATTAAAAATACTTTATTGCTAAAAAATGCTGACCATCATCTGAGCCTTCAGGGAATTGTAGTAGTAACATCAAAGATCACTGACCACAGATCACCATAACAAGTAGAACAATAATGAAAAAGCTTGAAATATTGCGAGAATTACTAATACGTGACACAGAGACATGAAGTGAGCAATGCTGTTGGAAAAATGGTGTCGATAGATTGCTCGAGGCAGGGTTGCCTCAAAGCTTCAATTTGTAAAAATGCAGTATCTGTGAAGTGCAATAAAGGCCAGTAAAACGAGGTATGCCTGTAGATATACATGTGTGTATGTGTGTATACACAAGTACATACACACATGTGCATACATACTTATATATATATGTATACATATATATGTATGTGTGTGTATGTGTGTGTGTGTATATATATATATATATATATATATGAAAATTACGTAAGACACAATAAGGTTTTTACATCAGTTGAGAAAGGAATTATTCAGTAAACGCTATTGGAATAACTGACTCTGCATTTGGAAGGAAAAGAGCCCCATTTCCCACCATATCCCAATATAAAATATACGTCAATTAAAGATCTAAATGTAAAAAAAATCTAAAGAATATATGAGAAAATATTCACTGAAACTTGGGAAGCCAGAAAGAAAACTGATAGACTTATTTACCTAAAAATGTAAAACTTTGTATGACAAAAGATACGGTATTATTTGCAGCATGAGTAATAGCAGTGGGTTAATATCCCTACTCTGCAAAGAGTTTCTATAAATCAGAAAGTAAAATGCCCTAATCAAGTCAGTAGAAGAATGAACAAAGGAAAAGAACAAGTGATTTTTAGAAAAAGAAACACAAATAGCCAATAAACCTATGAGAAGTTACTATACTTACGAATAATTATATTATATTTCTATAAATAAAAAATGAAGCAATAATGAGATATTAGTTACCTTTATCAAATAGAGGAAAAAAGGGGAAAAATTGAGAAATGGCAACTCCAATGTTTTCTGTGCCACAGAATCAGGGAGAGGCGATGGGAGGCTTCAAACACAGTGATTGTTTAACCTGGGTGATGGGTGTGTGGTGATTACTGTATTGTTGTTTTATAATGTTATAAATACTTTCATATCTCTTCTGTATTTAATTTGATTAAATATTAATTTAAAAAAATCCATACCTTATAATTCAGCCTTCTTCTGGGAATCTTTATTAGGTTGAGTATGTGTTCATATTCATTGTAGCACTGTAGTAGCAAAACATTGAGAAGGCTCTAAATGTCCATTAATAGGGGAACACTTAAATCTGCCTACATGTCATATAGAATACTGTGTAGCAGTTAGAAAGAATGAGGTGATGGAACCATGTCTAGAATATATGTATGTACATATACATATGTTTGTATATATGTGTGTGTGTGTCTCTCTCTCTATGTATATGTATATATATATATATTTTGGCCACGCCATGTGGCATGCAGGATCTTAGTTCGCCAACCAGGGATCAAACCTGTGCTCCCTGCAGGGGAAGCACAGTGTCTTAACTACTGGACCACCAGGGAAGTCCCTAAAATATATTGTAAAGTAAAAAAACAAACAAACAAACAAAAAAACAAGTGGCACGATCCTGGTTTTATTTAATAAAAAAGGATTTATATGAATATATGTGTGTCTGTAAACAGAGAAAAAAATTTGGTTGTTAACTGGAGGGTAGAGCTGAATTGACTTCTTATTTATATAATTGATAAGTGGTGGGGTTATATGTTATTTTTCTTTTCTTTGTTTTCTCGTGTTTTTGAAGTAAAACTTTTTTAACAGAAGTGTCTTGTTTTTGTGCAAAAGATGTATTTTCTCCATGAAAAAAATTCACATAGTCCAGAAGAGGACAAAAGAGAGTTAATTTTGATAACAAACATGTATTGAACCTTTAGTTGCACCAAGCAAGCACACTCACATGTTAAATCAGTTTTTCTTCCCAACATATAAATGTTGGGTATATATTATTATTTTTGTATTTCATGTGAGTAAGCCAAAGCACAAAGACTTTACCTGACTGTTGTCGTGCTCAGATTCAAACCCAGGAGATCTGGGTCTGTGCTAAATGGTTGGGTGAAAGAATCCAGGGTGAGGCTGTCAGGGAAGAGTTGGCTATTTTAGAGAAGGTGGTCTTGAAAAGCCCCTCTGACGGGGAGATGTTTGAAAACCTGAATAAAATGAGAAAGCCACGTGGCCATTTAGGGGACGAGAAGAGGTTCTAGAAAATTGAAGATTTTGTATGAACTGCTGTTCTTTAACTCTTGCCCTGACTCAACAAAATGTTGACGTCTTCCCGTCTTAGTAAATATGGATTATAACTCCATCTTTTATGGTTGCATTATATTCCAGTATGTATGGTTTACTTAGTCTATTATTGCATAAAATTTTAGTAGGATGAACAGTGGCCAGTGAATATACTAATTCGTGCAGCCGTTTTCCTCTCGTAGAGTGATTTTCTTAGTTCATAGAAGTGGTCAAAGGCTGGGTCAAAGGGTGTGCACATTTGACATTTTAACACACATCGTTAAATTGTCCTTCTGAAAAGTTGTATCTAGTCATCTTCCGCTACTAGTTCAGTGTGGTAAGACCATTTGACATAATTTTTATTTTTACCAAAGGTGTATATGCAGATAGTGAAAGAGACAAATAGTTCTTTTTATGAAAAACAGAAGCCTTAAGCCTCCAGGTCCCCAGAGGCAACCACTTACAAGTTAGCTGATTCTTGTATCATTTACCTCCTTAACTTCAAATTACAGTTTTAGTTATTATTTGTTGTCTTTCTATACTGGCTAAGGATTTAACTTTTTCTCCATCTTCTACTCCCCACTCCACACATCTTTACTTTTAATCCCCCCGTCCTTCCAATATAGTTAATTTCAGTTGTAACTGTTTTTGGCACTTACATTAAGCTGTGTAAAAGCTGAGCCATGTAGTATACCATGATTCCTTTTCCTTTCCTGCACCCTCTTTCTTTTCTATGAAGTTAATACCTATCTTTGCATTTGCTTTGCTTCTTATGTATTTTCAGACTGTTCCCTAGTTGTGTAAATGTCCAATATCCAGTGTATCCAAAGACACTAAGTAGACTGTTGTTTTAATTTCTTGAAGAATTATCTCTCCAAGTCTCCTGACATAATCTGGAAAGGTTGCTCAGTGGGCCAGCCGCACAGCTGTCACTGCAAGATATCCCTCCCCATCGTGTGGACAGTTCTTCTCACCTCTCTCTTAGGTGTTTAGATCTCATAATTTCCTCATTCTTGGTTTAATCTCTCATTTAGTGAACTGTATCCTCTGGTTAGCTTCTTATGAAAGAAGACATGGCAGTAAATATTTTTGAAACCTTTCATGTCTGAAAACGGCTTTATTCTACTTTTATACTTAATTAACAATTGTGTGGGTATAGGAGTACAAGCTTGAAATTATTTTCTCTATGTTTTGAACTCATTGATCCATTGTCTTCTAGTTTCCATTGGTATTGGTAAGAAGTCCAGTGCTATTCTAACCCTTGATTCTTTTTGTGGAACCTATTTATTGTCTCATTTTCTGGATGCTTCTTTGATCTTCTGTGTCCATGGTATTCTGAAATCTAGTGATTATGAGCCATTCCTTGTGCTGGGCACTCAGTAGGCCTTGTCAGTCAGGAAACTTAGAGCCGCAGTTGCAGGAAGTTTCCTTGAATTGTTTAGGCTCTCTTGGCCTGTGTATTATTCAGAAACTGGATGTTTTAGAAAGATCGCCTAATTTTCTTATCTTTTCCCTCCTGTTTTTCAGTGCTGACATTTTGTTCTACTCTATGTGAGATTTCTGCATCTGTGTTTATGTCTGCTTTTTCCAGGAGCTCTTTTTTGTTACCTAAATGTTCTTTTTCAAATTTCTATAGCAGCCTGTTATTGTTTAATGGAGGCAGATGTCTTCTCAAATTCCTTCAAATATATCTTGAGCACCTAGTATGTGCCAGGCCCTGAGGAGATAGCAGGGAACAAACCTAGTCCCTGCCCTTGTGCAGTTTATGTTCTTAGGGGGCAAAGGGAATAAGAAATGAAAAAACATAAAGATACACACACACACACACAAACCCCTGGATGGTACTGAATACACTGAAGGGATATGGAAGGGATAAGCGTGATAGAAGTACCAGGATGAGGGTGGGGGATGCTCTTTTATATAGGATGGTTTGGGACGGAACAGAGGGGAGAAGAGGAGATTGAGAAGTTCTGAGGTTAAAAAGGCAGCTGCGGGCTTCCCTGGTGGCGCAGTGGTTAAGAATCTGCCTGCCAATGCAGGGGACACAGGTTCAATCCCTGGTCCGGGAAGATCCCACATGCCACAGAGCAACTTAGCCCGTGCGCCGCAACTACTGAGCCTGTGCTCTAGAGCCCGCGAGCCACAACTACTGAGCCCACATGCCACAACTACTGAAGCCTGCGTGCCTAGAGCCTGTGCTCTGCAACAAGAGAAGCCACCGCAGTGAGAAGCCTGCGCACCGCAATGAAGAGTAGTCCCCGCTCGCTGCAACTAGAGAAAGCCAGCGCAGCAACAAAGACCCAACGCAGCCAAAAAAAAAAAAAAAAAAAAAGGCAGCCACCAAATCTCGTGAAGGGCCTTGGAGACCACTGTTAACACTTTGGCTCTTCCTGTGAGTGAGCTGGGAAGCCGCTGAAGGGTTT